CTCATTTTGTTTACCTTTATTATTATGATAATGTTTGTGTGTAGTTTTTTTGATTTTTTTCATTTATAAAGGTAATGAATTGTTTTTTTTCAACGTTTATTTATTTTTGGGACAGAGAGAGACAGAGCATGAACGGGGGAGGGGCAGAGAGAGGGAGACACAGAATCGGAAGCAGGCTCCAGGCTCCGAGCCATCAGCCCAGAGCCCGACGCGGGGCTCGAACTCATGGACCGCGAGATCGTGACCTGGCTGAAGTCGGACGCTTAACCGACTGCGCCACCCAGGCGCCCCTTGAATTGTTGTTTTTAAAAAATTTTTCCAGGGTATGAATTGATGAAAGTGGACATCTGCCTTTACATTTTGATGCATATAGATATTTTATCGACTTATTATGTTTTATTCATTTTTTTTGGTAGAGAGAGACAGAGCATGAGCAGGGGAAGGGTAGAGAGAGGCAGATATAGAATCTGAAGCAGGCTCCAGAGTCTGAGCTGTCAGCACGGAGCCTGACACAGAGCTCGAACTCACGAACCCCAAGATGATGACTTTGGCTGAAGTCGGATGCTTAAACTGACTGAGCCACCCAGGCCCCCTAATGCATCTAGATTTTTTAAAAATCTATAGTTGTTTATTAAAATGGCATCTTATATTTTGGCCACCTGCTTTTGCTTCACATTTAGGAAATCTCAGACATCTTTCCATATCAGAAACTATAGATCTCTCTTTTTATGGCTACATAGTATTTCATTTTGAAGGTATATTTTAATATATAATTAATGAATCTCAATTTGATGGCTCTTTGGGTGTTTTCAGTTTTCCCTATTTTAGTAATTTAGTTTTGAACATCCGTGTATATATTTGCATTCTTTGGAAATAAACAGTAATTTTTACAGTTTTAAACTTAAGATATTTTACTGGTAAGTGCTACTAAAATTATGACATGGGACCAAAGAAATGGGAAGGTGATAGATATCTCCTGTTTTAAAAATGATGAACTTAGCTTTGCACATATATTTGCTTCTGGTTATTAGGATTGTCAGTGTCATTATTTGGGCCACAGTTCCTCTATTGCAGCTTCCGTTGGCTGTCATATTTCCACATGAACTACATGAACTGAGTGAAATTCTCAGCAGAGGCAGTTGATTGAAATACTCAAAGACATAACAGTTGATGTAAAGAATGTCACTATATGCCTCTCTCTTGAGTTGGATTTGATATTCACATCTAACCCTGATTCTGTAAACATGCCTGACATTAGGAGTTCTAGCATTAATTCCTGCATGGAAGAAAATTATGTTAATGGACTTTTTCATCCCATGTAATTAATTAGGCAGTATCCGGTTGAATGGGACTAGTTTTCAGTTTGTACTGTTTATAGTAGTTTTATGTTGTTTGATCTGCCAGAGAAATCTGGAAATAATATAACTCATACTTGTTTTGAGGGTGGGAAATGTTGGTTATTTTCAAGGGTTTTGTTAAATAAAATGCAACAAATACATTCTTTCACTTCTTTTGGAATATTAAGTCTTAAGTTTAAGGCCTTAAAATCAATGTTGATAATAGTCATTTTTGACCAGAATTCTTTTTGTTTAAACAGTGGAAGAGTTTTTATAAATGATTGTTGACTTGGATTAAATTTGGAAAACCAGGGGCGCCTGGGTGGCGCAGTCGGTTAAGCGTCCGACTTCAGCCAGGTCACGATCTCGCGGTCCGTGAGTTCGAGCCCCGCGTCAGGCTCTGGGCTGATGGCTCAGAGCCTGGAGCCTGCCTCGGATTCTGTGTCTCCCTCTCTCTCTGCCCCTCCCCCGTTCATGCTCTGTCTCTCTCTGTCCCAAAAATAAATAAAAACGTTGAAAAAAAATTAAAAAAAAATTTGGAAAACCAAATATGAGGATCAAGGAGTTGAGACTAATTTAAAGACCAAATTTTATATATGTAGCACAGTTAATTTTAATAAAACAGTATCTCTTTGCTAGATAGTGTCATTAATAAAGAAACCTGCGGGGCGCCTGGGTGGCGCAGTCGGTTAAGCGTCCGACTTCAGCCAGGTCACGATCTTGCGGTCCGTGAGTTCGAGCCCCGCATCAGGCTCTGGGCTGATGGCTCGGAGCCTGGAGCCTGTTTCCGATTCTGTGTCTCCCTCTCTCTCTGCCCCTCCCCCGTTCATGTTCTGTCTCTCTCTGTCCCAAAAATAAAAAAACGTTGAAAAAAAAAAAAAAAGAAACCTGCTTTATTTTGTCTGGATATGTTTTTTTTTTTTAAGTATCTAAAAATGTGTTTTTTCTGTCATAGTAAGTTCAGTATAGACAGCAGAATTTGATTTTTGTAGAGTTCCTTATTGTGTAAAAATAAACATAACAAAGTTCATTGTCTTAGCCATTTTTAAGTGTTTGTCAGTGGCATTAATATATTCACAGTGTTGTACAAGTGTCCCCACTGTCCATTTCCAGAACTATTTTTTTAAAGTTTATTTAGAGAGAGAGAGAGAGGGCACACATGTGTGTGGGGGGGGGAAAGGGGCAGAGAGACTCCCAAGCAGGTTCCATGCTGTCAGAACAGAGCCTGACCCAGGGTTCAAACCTATGAACCATGAAGTCATGCATGACCTGAGCCGAAATTTGACCCAGATGCGCAACTGACTGAGCCACCCAGTTGCCCCCTCCAGAACTTTTTCAGCATCCCAGATAAGAAACTTTGTACTCGTTAAAGAGTAATTCTCAGTCATTTGTTCCCCTTCAGCCCCTGGAAACCTTTTTACTTTCTATCTCTATCCATAATTTGTTTATTCTGGATATCTCATATAAGTTGAATCGTACAGTATTTGGCCTTTTATATCTGGATTATTTCACTTAGCATGTTTCCACGGTTCATCCATATTGTAGCATGTTTAAGAATTTCATTCTTATGCAAGGTGGCATCTTGCATTGATGCATCTTGATTTGCATTTTCTTTGCATTTGCATCGTGATTTGCATTAATGGATTGTCAGTGTCTTTGGTTGGGACAGTGACTAGGGAGTTGAACATCTCTTCATGTGCTATTGGACATTTGAATATCTTCTTTAGAGAAATGTTTATATAAGTCCTTTGTACATTTTTTAATTGGGTTGTTAGAGTTTTTTGCTGTTGAGTTGTATGATTTCTTTAGGCATTCTGGATATTAATTCCTTGTCAGATCTGTGAGTTGCAAGTACTTTCTCCCATTCTGTGGATTGTCTTTTCATTCTTTTTTTTTTTTTTTTTTTAATTTTTTTTTTCAACGTTTATTTATTTTTGGGACAGAGAGAGACAGAGCATGAACAGGGGAGGGGCAGAGAGAGAGGGAGACACAGAATGGGAAACAGGCTCCAGGCTCTGAGCCATCAGCCCAGAGCCTGACGCGGGGCTCGAACTCCCGGACCGCGAGATCGTGACCTGGCTGAAGTCGGACGCTTAACCGACTGCGCCACCCAGGCGCCCCTGTCTTTTCATTCTTGATAGTGTTCTTTGATACACAGATTTTTTTTTTAAGTTTATTTATTTATTTTGAGAGAGAAAACAAGAGCACAAGCAAAGGAGGGGCAGAGAGAGAGGGAGACACAGAATCTGAAGCAGACTCCAGGCTCTGAGCTGTCAGTACAGAGGCCGGTGCAGGGCTCCAACTCACAAACTGTGAGATCATGACCTGAACCAAAGTCAGATGCTTAACCGACTGGCCACCCAGGCACCCCAATAAACAGATATTTTAATGTTGGTGAAGTCCTGCTGTTTTTTTTTCTTTTGTTGTCTGTCCATAATTTAATATTTGACGTTACCAGTTGGCAAGTAAAATTGCCATCAGTATGGCATAGTATTTCCTGAGATAAAAGATATAGTAGAATAAGTGATGAATTTAAAGTTCGATCTTTGGGACACCTGGGTGACTCAGTTGGTTAAGCATCTGACTCTTGATATCCACTCAGGTCATGATCTCGCTCTCCTGGGATGGAGCCCCACATCAGGCTCCCCACTGGGCATGGAGCCTACTTGGTAGTCTCTATTCCTTCCCCCCTCTCTCTGCCCCTCCCCCACTCTCACTCTCTGCCCCTCCCCTGCTCGTCTCTCCTCTCTCAAAATAAATACACTTAAAAAAAATAAAGTTAGATCTTTAATTATTTTGCAACCAAGTTTCTTAATTTGCCAGTAAGCATAGTGTTACCATCTCATGGGATTATTGGGCTTTAGGAGAAAACATAAAATCTTCTTACAGTAAGAAAGAGGTATCATTATTATTTTTATTAAATCTCTAGTTTAAAAAAAAAGGTGGGGGGCGCCTGGGTGGCTCAGTTGGTTAAGCGTCTGACTTCAGCTCAGGTCATGATCTCACAGTCTGTGAGTTCTGTGAGTTTGAGCCCCACGTCGGGCTCTGTGCTGACAGCTCAGAGCCTGGAGCCTGCTTCGGATTCTGTGTCTCCCTCTCTCTCTGACCCTCCCTCTGTTCGTGCTCTGTCTCACCCTGTCTCGAAAAAATAAATAAACGTTAAAAAAGTTAAAAAAAAAAAAAAAAGGTGGGGTGACACCTGGGTGGCTCATTCAGTTAAGTGTCTGACTTCGGCTCCTGTCATGATCTCGCGTTTGCGAGTTCGAGTCCGACATTAGGCTCTGTGCTGACAGCTCAGAGCCTAGAGCCTGCTTCAGATTCTCTGTCTCCCTCTCTCTCTGACCCTCCCCCTTTCGCACTGTGTCTCTCTCTTTCTCTCCCTCTCTTTCAGAAATAAATAAGCATTAAAAAAATTTTTTTTTAATTTTAAATCTCTGGTAAAAAAAATTTTTTTTTCTATGTAATAGTGATATGATTCATCTCCTGAACTTGTGAGACTTAATAGAGTATTAATTTTCTTTGTAATGAAAAATTTGGTAGATTATTCATGCTTAGTTGGACATAGTATGCATTTATAATAAAAATTGCTTGGTGAGTAAGTGAACATTTGCATTTTTGATTTTTTTTTTTTTTAATTGAGTTAATTTTTGTTCTTTCCTCAAGGCCTATATGAACCCAATAGCAATGGCCAGATCCAGGGGTCCAATCCAGTCTTCAGGGCCAACAATCCAAGATTATCTGAATCGACCAAGGCCTACCTGGTATTTGTGTAACAATTTAACCATTTATAAGATTTTCATAGATTTTTTTAAAGGTTACTGTTACAGTTTTAATTGATTGCAAAGCAATTGTCAGATACATAATTTTTTGAAGTGATATTCATTGGTGCTTTCTTTTCAATGTATGAAATACACGCATCATGCATGAGCATAGAACAAATACTTGAGAAGCCACCACCCTGTGTAGCTAAAGAGCTAGCAGTTAACCTTTCATATCAATCTCTTCTCTATCCCCTAAAAGAGACCTTAAGTTTGCAGTTTTAAGCTATTTAAAATGGTAGGTTTGACTAATCTCGCCCTTCATTGAAGTGTAAGTAGGTGTTAGGAAGGATAATGTTAAGCCATGTTTCTATTCTTACCTGATGGCTTTTCAATAAGTTGAATTTCCCATTAAAAAATTTTTGTTTTCAATTGTTTTTTGGGTTTTTATTTGCCCTCATTGAGTAACTCTGATTATTTGTAAATAAAGCCTCACAGCACTGGCCTTACTTTTTTTTTAGTATGTCTTATTATTAAATATCAGACTCCTGAGATAACTTATGACAAGTTTCAGAGTTGTTAGCTTCATAATGCTTGTAGGTGCCCCTAAAAGCTGGATAACTATAGTTGAAAGTTTTGCTTATATGTAACAAGGACTCTTCCTTTGAGTTAAAGAGAAAGTAACCCATGTCTACCTCTTAGAGTTTTCATGAATGCTGTTGTTGACTGTTGCAGCATACCAGAAAATTATCCCAAAACAAAATACATTTTACCTTCAAAATTGGTGAGAAGAAATGAACTTTAAGGGGAAGTGCTCGAAAAAGTATATTATGTGTGTATTAGAGTCCCCCAAGATAGCCCTTCAGTTGTGTAATTTGCTAGAAGGACTCCCAGATAGTTGTACTCTTGGGTAAGACTTATTACACTGAAAGAGTACCAGCCACAATCAGCAAAGAGAAAAGTTGCATGGGGTGAAGTCCAGGGGAGATTGGGCTCAGGCTTCCAAGGCTTCTTCCTGTATAGTCACATGGAATGTGCTTAACCCCCACAGCAATGAGTTGTGTTAACATACATGAAATGTTGCCAACCAGGGGAGTTCATTAGAGACTCAGTGTGCCCAGGGTTTTTACTGGGGACTAGTCAGCCTCTCCCTATCAGATCCCAAAATTCCAGACTCCCTGAAGTACAGGTTCAGCCTAAGCAGTAGTATTTGTACAGATAGGCACAGTGAGCCACTCTTAACGGAATGGTAAGGAGCCTTCAAAATCCAAGTTCCCAGATGCCAGCCAAGGCCAAACTTGTAAGCAGGCCATTCTGAGAATTAGCAATCAGGCATGTTGTACCAACTCTTCTGTGCAGTATGAGAGGTGCATTGTAAAATAGATGTTTAATTAAAAAATTTAGTAGTTTAAATAGACCTTAGCTCTCCCTAACACTGAAACTATCAGCTTTGGGACCCTAGGCAGATTTCTTACCTGCCTCAAGCTTTGCTTCGTATCTGTAAAATTGGTGTAATAATACTGTGTTTTCTCACAGGATTGTTGTAAGGATTAAAGGAAAATGTATTGAAAACAGTGCTCAAACGTTTGGTGAATTAGCTCTTGTAATCCATGTTTGGGAAAGGAATAATCAGTGTTATCTGAAAGACTGTGTTAATGATAATTGACTTATAAGGCTATGAACAAAGAACTTTAAAAATGTGTCAACACTGGAATGGAAGTTTATTAGGATACTAATATTTTTTTATTTACGAAATTTTGGTTTTGTTTGTAAGTATTCATCTCTAATTTGAATTGCTTGAAAACTTATGTGTCTATTTTATTAAGGGAAGAAGTGAAAGAACAACTAGAGAAGAAAAAGAAAGGCTCCAAGGCATTGGCTGAATTTGAAGAAAAAATGAATGAGGTTTGTAAATAGTACCTGTTTGAAAAAATAGACACATAAGTTTTCTTAAAAGAAATATGACTTTGGGGCGCCTGGGTGGCACAGTCGGTTGAGCATCCGACTTCGGCTCAGGTCATGATCTCATGGTCTGTGAGTTCGAGCCCCACATCGGGCTCTGTGCTGACAGCTCAGAGCCTGGAGCCTGCCTCGGATTCTGTGTCTCCCTCTCTCTCTGCCCCTCCCCCCGCTCATGCTCTGTCTCTCTCTGTCAAAAATAAAATAAAACATTAAAAACATAAAAAAAAGAAATATGAAATAATTTTTTAACAAATCAGGGGTCGGGCATGGTTTTTAGGTTTAAGGGCACTCTGTACATTGAATACAGGTTTGTGTATAAACGCACAATTTCTTTAAAATAAAAAGAGCAGTTCGGTCCCGGGTCTCGGCACCAAAAAAAAACAAAAAACAAAACAAAACAAAAAAAACAAAACAAAACAAAAATAAAATAAAATAAAATAAAAAGAGCAAAAAAATTAAAAAGTGGAAAATCATCTTACAGTAATTTAGGTCATCTGGGTTTTTCCCTTTATCTTCCCCTGCCCCCATGGCCCCATATTACTCTGAGTTTTCCATGATGTTTGCCTGTTTTGGTCACAAACATGTATGTGGTATTTCAGGTACAATATAGATTAATTCAGTTTTTACTGTCTGGAAAGAGAATCTCTTTTTTTTTTTTTGAAAAAAGTTGTCAGCTTCAGTGATAATATGTACTCCTCTTCTCAATATGCACTGGAGAGCTCCCACTCTTTAATATCCCCCTTAATAAAGAGCTTTTAGAGGATTCTTTGGTGACAGGGTTCTGGCACCTGGAATACCTTTTCCCTGTTCTTAGAGGCTGAGATGGTGGGAGGTAATAGAGGATAGAGGGAAGGAAGTAGTAGCCGTCTATATCAGGTGTGTTAGAAGGGGATAGATAGCCTTTGATGTTGTTCATAACCTTTTTGCAGAACTGGAAGAAAGAACTAGAAAAACACAGGGAGAAATTATTAAGTGGAAGTGAGAGCTCATCCAAAAAAAAGCAGGTAAGAGTTTAATGTTGTTTTTAATATCACAGTTGGGTGTACTACTATCAGTATAATATTAAAAACTCACATCAGCTTATTTAGATTTGTACTTTTATTTTTTTGTTTTTAGAGAAAGAAAAAAGAAAAGAAGAAATCTGGTAGGGTGAGCAAAAGTTTTCCATTTTTCTAAATGTTACGATTAAGAGCTTACAAGAAAAGTAAGATAATTTATACAACCTGTATGCTGACTGTCAATGAGTCAAGGAGCCTGGAGGTCCTTTGGTAGATATGGGTGGTTTTGTTCTATTAGCAATATAAAGAAAGGCACCACCTGCCTTATAACCTAGTAACTCCTCTGTTGCTATCAGGGAGGGAAAGGGGAAAATTGACTACCATTGCCATATCTGTTACTTTGTTGAGGCATGTGTGTGTGTGTGTGTGTGTGTGTGTGTGTGTGTGTGTGTGTAAGGGCGTATGACATTTCACTTTTTAATGTTTAAGTCTTCAGAATAATACAACATCTGTTTCTCAGCCACTAGATTGATTTTTGTTAAGTATTTGAAAGACTTAGTAATAAAAAAATTCCTGCATCTCACAAGCTTTAATTGTTTTGTGCTTGGTCAAGTATTCATCTTCTTCTTCATCAAGCTCTGATTCTTCCAGCAGTTCTTCGGATTCTGAAGATGAGGTAAGGTTTGCCTGTGATGGCTCATGAAATAATAATCTCTAATTTATTTAATGACAAGAGGAAATCCATTATGTAATATTTTAGAAATGTTGACTTGCAGGTTTTGGTTAATTATCCATAACTGAGAGCACTGACAGGAATGAACAGCTAGATACTTAAATATTAACATATTTTTTTTATATTCCTAAATTTATCTTATTCAGTTAAAAATATCAGAGAAGAAATACAGTTTAAAAATCTAAAATGCTATCTGACTAGAAGCTAGAGGGTATGTGTGACTCAAATTACTTGACTTTTTTTTATAAAACAGGAAGGTTAGTATAAGTTATACTTTACACAGTTATTAAGGGGGTGCTTGGTTGGCTCATTCGGTAGAGTATGTGACTCTTGATCTCAGGCTCAGGAGCTCAAGCCCCACATTGGGCATAAAGTTTACTTTAAAAATACTGTTAGGTAAAACATGTATTTACAGCTTGGTTCTTTCATGGATAAAGTTTTTATATTATTAAAATGCATCAATTATATTTTTGAAACAAAGTAAATGTTTGTAAAAATGTTTTATATAGGATAAAAAACAAGGAAAAAGAAAAAAGAAAAAGAAGAATCGTTCACATAAATCTTCTGAAAGCTCCATGTCAGAAACTGAATCGGACAGTAAGGTAAAATTACTTAAATTAGCAGCATTTTGGATAGCAAACCACATTTAATTAGCTTCTTTTAAGTCATCCTATCTTAAATTGCTCTCAGTTTGGAAATGAGATACTATTTTTTTGTACTTTGATGGTCTGTGCCATTTAATTGATATACTTAATATCTTACATATGGTTTTCAGTTGTTCTCTAAGTACTTCCACATATGTCTCCATCTCTCAACATTTCCATGATAGCTTTATGATAAATGTGACAGATACTATTTTTTCCATTTTCATAAAGAAGTCAGAGTTTAGAGAAAAAAACATACTGTACTATCTGGTCCAGTATCCTATTCCTAAATCTGCTCTGTACTGTCCAGAATTGTGAAACATAATTGGCATTGGCTCTCAGACATTTGTGATAATAAGGAATACATGCAAGTTGTAATAAAAGTGTAGATTCCTGGGCCTCATCTCCAGAGAGTATGATTCAGTAAATCTGATTAGGCTCAGAAGTCTACATTTTTAATAGATGTTCTCTGTGATTCTGATATAGGGGTGTCCTCGGACCACAATTTGACAAACACTAACCTAGGGTCTCAGAAAAACAAAACAACTGTCTGGTTTTGTGGCAGATCTCTACTAGTCCTAGTGTCGTTTCTTTTGACAAAATTCCTGGCATCTAGAAAGTAGTCAGTGAACACTGGTTTTCTTTTTGTCTTTTAAGGCTGAAGACTCAGTCTCATGATAATGATAGCTAATATTTGTCCAAGTGCCTCCTCTGTGTTAGGCATAGTTGTAAGCACTTGACATTTTAACTCAATCTTCATCCACTTTTTGGATAAGGAAGGCTCAGGGAGGTTAATGGCTAGAACTGAAACAATCAAAAGAAAGAAATTCTAGCCTCTCCTCCTTACAAGGAGAGTAGGAAAATGAGATTGGTGGACGTCCACAGTCAGTGTGAATTAGAATTCCCATGCATATGACCACCACGGGCAAAAATAGGCAGATGGCATTGTCTTATTTTTTAAATAAACTAGGTGGTTATTATAGATAATCTGTTAGATTATTATTTTGAGGTATACCTAGGTTTGATATGTAGCTAGATAAATGAAGAATGCCCATTTCCTTACAAGCACATATATACACAACATAACGTTCCTCCTACATTTTCAGAATAAAATTCTGGCATTGAAGTAAACTTTTTCCAGTTTATATAATAAATTGAGTGAATCATAGAGCAAATCACTGTTGTGGTATTTTTGTCCTTATACTATTATGCTGTATCTTTTAAATTTAAAATTGATATATATATATGTTTGTATGTTTAGGATAGTTTAAAAAAGAAAAAGAAGTCAAAGGATGCAACTGAGAAAGACAAGGTAATTATAAATTTACATTGCCTTTAGTCTGTAATACAATACTTCATTTACTTCAAAAAATTGACAATATGTTCTCCCTTTTAACTTAAAGAGATTTATTTATTTTGTTTTTATAGCATTTCTCGCTGATTTAAGGAAATCATTTATTGAATTCATTATTGAAGGTTAAAAGATCAGAAAAGTATTCCTGCAGAGTTTGAATTTGTACAGATTATTATCTCAGATTAAAAATTCAAAATGATGGAGATTAAATATTTCCTTTGTTTCTGCAAGTCATTTTATTTTATTTTTTAAATGTTTATATTTTGAGAAAGGCAGAGTGTGAGTGGGGGAGGGGCAGAGAGAGAGAGAGGAAGACAGGATTGGAAGCTAGCTTTGCACTAACAGCGTGGAGCCTGCTTGGGATTCTCTGGCGTGCACTTGTGTGCTGCGTCTCTCTCTCTCCCTCTCTCCCTCTCTCCCCCTCCCCCTCTCCCTCTCTCCCCCTCCCCCTCTCCCTCTCTCCCTCTCTCCCCCTCCCCCTCTCCCTCTCTCCCCCTCCCCCTCTCCCTCTCTCCCTCTCTCCCTCTCTCCCTCTCTCTCCCTCTCCTTCTCCCTCTCCCTCCCTCCCTCCCTCCCTCCATCACTCTCTCCCACTCTTCCTCTCTCCCCCGCCTCTCCCCTGCTCACATTTTGTCTCTTTTTCTCTCAAAATAAATACATAAACTTTTTTAAAAAGTTAAAAAAAAAAGACTTTTTATTACAGAACCTGAAGTTCTGTTTCAAATTGAATACATCGTAGATAAGTTTTGAAAAACCTTTTTACTACTATAGATATTTTATTTTTATTTATACTTAACTATAAATAATGCAAGTTTATTCCTGTGTTTCTGATGTACGATTAAAAATCTTTTTCTGGTTCTTAGTAATAAAAACCTAAAGGAAGCAGTTACTAATGAAAGAAAACTACAGACCAGTGTCATTATATTTTATTCAGTCTTTTTAAACATATTTTTTAAATTGGGGTGTAATTCACATAATATGCTATTAAACATTGTAAAATTACAATTTGGAGGAATATTGTGTATATACAGTGTTGTGCAATGACCACCTCTGTAGTTTAAAAACGTTTTCATTACCCCCTCAAAAACAACCCATACTCATTAACTAATTACCATTCTCCCTTTCCCCCTTCCCCTAGTAACTTCTGTTCTGCTTTCCATCTCTAGATTTATATATTCTGGATATATCTTTGTTCTATTCTGTTTTGTGTTTTGTTTTGTTTTGTTGAATCAAAAGTGGAACTTCATGGGCACCTGGCTGGCTCAGTTAGTAGAGCTTGTGACTCTTGATCTTGGGGTTGTAGGCTTGAGCTCCATGTTGGGTGTAGAGATTACTTAAAAATAAAATCTTTTTTAAAAAAAAGTAGGAACTTTAATAAGTGTATCACTTGTATTTACATTAAAATAAATGGAATTTATTAGAAACAGTCCTTGCTATTTACAAATTGAATGTATAAGACAAATTATCCTTTGTATTTGTTTTCTGTTTGTTTACAAATTCAATAGTATTACACTTTGGAAAGCCAGTTACTTTTTGTTAACTTTGATACAAATATAAGGTAGCATTAACATAGCATATTCTACAGATTTAAGGACAGGTAAAACTTAGCATTAAACCCTCAAACACTGCTTCTTCTCCTACATTTTTTGGAGTAAAACACTGATATTCTTTTGTAGACTGTTCAGCTTAGGCCTGATTTTTTAGTGAGAACCACTCAAGCAAGTAGGTGATTTCAGTTCCACATGGAAGAGCTTCAACAGAAGCTTTCAGGCAGCACCAAGGGCTGGGTGTGCCAAACCCCTGCCAGCTGTGCTGGTCACTGGGGCTACAGCTGGTAGCTTGTAGTGAAGTCAAGTGAAGCTTGACTTTACTGGGGCAGGTTGAAGAACAATTCTCTTATAACTTCCAGGGCTAGATCTTGACAGGGACACTCTTTGGATCATAGAGGATGACATAGACTCAGGACAGGTCCAGGTCCCTTCCCCTCTGAGTATATCATTTAAAAGCAGTCATACAATGTATTGCTTTTTGTGTCTGGCTTCTTTCACTTAGTGTAAGGTTTTCAAGGCTCATCCCAAGTGGTAGCATGTATCAATACTTCATTCCTTTTTATGGATGATTAATATTCCACTGTGTGTGTATGCCACAATTTGTATATCCATTTGTCTGTTGATATTTAAGTTGTTTCTACCTTATGCTGTTGTAAACATATATGTACAAGTTTCTGTGTGGACATATATTTTTACTAATCTTGGATATATACTTAGTAATGGTTTTAATATCAGTTTGCAAATAAAAAAACCCATTTAGACACTAAAAAAAAAAAGCCATCATGATCAAAATGGGTTAATTTTAAGAATTCAAAGATAAGAACTTTATTAATACAATTTGCCATATTGTAGTAACTGCCCAAATGAAAGAAACCGTAATTGCCAAAGGGATATGATGTAATTCAACATTAATTCCTGATTTTCTAAATCATTATAGAATAAGTAGTACCTTTCATATTTAAAAAGATATATGTGTTAGGGGCGCCTGGGTGGCTCAGTCAGTTAAGTGACCGGCTCAGGTCATGATCTCCTGGTTCATAGGCTCAAGCCCCATGTTGGGCTCTGTGCTGACAGCTCAGAGCCTGGAGTCTGATTGGGATTCTGTGTCTCCCTCTCTCTTCCCCTCCCCAACTTACCATCTGTTTCTCCCTGTCTCAAAAATGAATAAACATTAAAAAAATTTTTTTTAAATATACGTGTGAAACTAAAAACTGGTAGTATACAAACATGAAATACTAAAACAACTGCATTGTGATTTTGTACTTCAGTATAAGGTACAGAGTAATAATGTGTTTTTACAGAGTAAAAGACAAATAATACAATAAACAAATACCCATATACATACCAGCCGGAGTTGGCAAATGATTTACATTTTGTCATAGTTGCTTCAGGTCTGGTTTTATTAAAGAAAAAGTACAGGGTACCTTGGTGGCTCAGTCAGTTGAGCGTCTGACTTCGGCTCAGGTCATGATCTCACGGTTTGTGAGTTCGAGCCCCGCATCGGGCTCTGTGCTGACAGCTCAGAGCCTGGAGCCTGCTTCGGATTCTGTGTCTCCCTCTCTCTCTGCCCCTCCCCCACTCACACTCTTGTCTGTCTCTCACAAATAAACATTAAAAAAAGTACAAGACACCCTCTCCTTCCTAAGAGGCAGCTGTTTCTGAAATTAATGTGAATTTTTCCCATCCACATTTATACACTTTTATTGCATAAGTATATGTTCTTAAATAGCATTAGATATTTTGCATTTTCAAAATGGTATCATGTTTCCTTCTGGCACCTACTTTTTTCATTCAGCATTGCTGTGGACATTTATCCTTGTTGATGCCCTCAAGTCCTTTTGCCTGTAGTATTCTATTATATTAATTTGCCATAATTTATTTCTCCATTCCTTTTTAAAATTATTTTTATGTTTTAGAGAGCATGAGCAGGGGAGAGGAGCAGAAGGAGAAAGAAACTCAAGCCAGGCTCCATGCTCAGTGCAGAGCCTGATTCAGGGCTTGATCTCATGACCCCCTGGGATCATGGCCTGAGCCGAAATCAGGAGTCAGACACTCAACCAGCTGAGCGATTCAGGCGCTCCTGTTTCTCTATTCTTCTGTTTTTGGGACATCTAGCTGTTTCATTTTTCAGTAATGCAAACAGTGCTGCAGTGACTGTTTCTTATCCATTTTTCCTTTTCCACAAGTTATCATTACTTTTCTAAGACACACCTGGGGAAAAAGGAAATAAATAAGATATACCTGGGACTATAATTTCTAGGTTCAAAGATGTTCATATATTTAACTTGTCTAAATTTTGCCCACCCAAATGCTCATGAATTTGTATCCTGCTAGTAATGTATTGACCATACCCTTGTTCCACATACGTGATGGTCAACACTATGAGATTTCTTTTTGCCAATTTAATATGTGAAGATGGTTTAGCCTCTTCATTTGCTTATTAACCATTCAGATACCATTTTCTGTGAATTGCCTATTCATAGTCTTTGCCTACTTTTCTGTTGGTTTTTTGTTTTTATGACTCATAGGAGTTTCATATTTTAGATATTACTCATTTTTCATATACATGATGAACATTTTAGGGTCCATGGCTTCTCTTAATATTGTTTAGAGTGACTGTTATAATCATAAAAAGGGTGTAATTTTTTCCCTTAGGCAATATTCTTTGTTTTTAGGGTTTTCATTTTAATTCCAGTATAGTTAGCATAGTGTTATAAAAAAGGGTGTGATTTCAAGTCATATATCAGTCATTGTTTTCAGCTCGTTTTTAAATTGTTACAAAAATGGAATATGATACCTAATAATGGAAGGAATATCCTGTTTCTAATAGTAACAAAGACTATATAGGAAATTTTCAAAAAATTGATCGGAACTTACTTGAAGAAAATATGCAAATCTATTCAGAGAAGCACATGAAGATGAAGATTCAGTAAATTTTCCTGGGTATGAGCTACCCTATTAGACATTAATGCTTTGATTAAAAAATAGTGTGGTATGGTACAGGAATAGAAAACAACAACAACAACAACAACAAAAAAAAAAACAGTGGATAAAATGGAACTAACAGTTGGGGGAGGAGGGAACAGTCTGGAGCCCAAGTAAAACTTTGTAAGTATTTGTGGAACTTAATATATGATACAAGTGGCTTTTCTTGGGACAAAATGATTGTCCGTTTGGAAAATATAAAGCTGGGCACTCCTTAAGGCCAGATAAATCCCAAATATGTCTGTTTTAAATCTGAAAGTATAACTGGAGAAAGACCATGGAGAATATGGTATTGGGGTGGTGAAGGCCCATGCCTCAAAACTCAAAACTTTTGACCAGATAATTCTAATTCTGAATGACAAAGATCACAAAAAAGTAAACCATGAACAAAGTTTAAATATAATGAACAAACTTAGTAAAAACTAGGAATACATAATTTAAAACTTCGTAATTAAAAAACGATACTTTATATTTGCTGTGGAAGGCAGAAAAAAATACCTTATATACACAGAAAAAGTGGTAAAATTCATGTTTAGGCATTTCTTAAAATACGACTGTATTCCAATTATCTGAGATTGATATGATTGATAAAAGAGCCCGATAAGGAGGCTTCTTGGTAAAGTGTGATTCATAAATGAGTGAAATAAATGATTGAGGGGTGGTGGTGGGAGAATGAGAAAATCATTTGGGTGAAGGCTACTTTGGTCTTTTATTTAAACATTGTTATTAGGTAAAGATTTTGTACTCACGCACCCTTTACTGTATTTCAACTTTGTTTTTGTTATTTTTTAAGTTTATTTATTTATTTTGAAATAGAGAGCGAGGAAGTGCGAGGGAGGGAGAGAGAGAGAATCCCAGGCGGGCTCCGTGCTGTCAGCGCGGGGCTCAATGCGGGGCTCGATCCCACGAACCATGAGATCATGACCTGAGCCGAAACCAAGGGTCGGATGCTTAACTGACTGAGCCACCCAGGTGCCCCTCAACTTTGTTTTTATTACTTATTTATTTATTAAAGTTTATTTATTTTGTTTGTTTATTTGGAGAGAGAGAGAGAGCACAAGCAGGGGAAAGTCAGAGTGAGAGGTAGAAAGAGAGAATCCTAAGGTGCCCCCAGGTGCCCCTCAACTTTGTTTTTTTTTTTTTTTTTTTTTTTTTTTTAAATATTTATTTATTTATTTTGAGACAGGGAGAGACAGCATGAATGGAGGAGGGTCAGAGAGAGAGGGAGACATAGAATCTGAAACAGGCTCCAGGCTCTGAGCTGTCAGCACAGAGCCTGACGCGGGGCTCGAACTCACAAACTGTGAGATCATGACCTGAGCCACCCAGGCGCCCCTCAACTTTGTTTTTAATAGCAAAGAACCCATATGTATGCCTGCCCTCCAAAAAGAGATGGGTTAAGTAAATTCTGGCCTATGCTGTCAATGAATGTCAAAGGCAGCTATAAATGACAATGTAGTTGGCATGGAAAGGTACTATTGGGTGAGAAATTCAGGTTCTAAACAAGAATTTATGTAAAATAGTAAATGTACACATAGAGAGCTGTTTCCAAAAATCTTCATGATGATTAATGCCTGGTACTGGGCTTCAGGTGAATTTTCTTACAGTGAGCATTTATCATTTCTACCAAAATAATAAGCTGTTTGCAGAAACAAAATTAAATCACCTGTAATATAACACAGATCATCACTGTTAGCTTATTTTCTATGTGATTTATTTTTGTCCAATAATCTTCAAAATTGGGTCCATGCTATATAGTTTTGTGGTTTTTTCTATATGATTCAGTAGTGTGTATTTTTTCCATTGTAGTTTTTTTGTTGTTACAAACTAGTCAGACATACAGGAAGAGTATATGGAAAATAATAAAATGACAACCTGCATATCCACTATGAAGCTTTACTAAATCTTAACATTTTGCTGTACATCAGATGTTTTTGAAATTTTTTATTCCTCAGAGTGTATATTTTTAACTGTCTAATAACTCCTTCAGTCTTTCTTCTTCCCTAGAGTTACACATTTTCTCATCATTAAGAATACTTAGAGATGAAGATTTTTTTAATATGAATTTAACACTGGGAACATACTAAAGTAATTTATACTGTGTAGAGATCTTTTTCAATTATCACATTTACCCTTTGGGGTGTGTGTGTGTGTGTGTGTGTGTATGTATGTATGTGTGTAGCACTAGGCTTTTCTGATCCAACACTGGGTAGAAACAAAACAATCCAAATACAAGGGACTTAAATCTTATACCACCTGTATGGTTTCTTACGAGTTTTTATAATTCTGTCATTTATAATTAAAATAAGAGGGGTGCCTGCCTGGCTCAGTCAGAAGAGCATGTGTCTTTTGATCTCAGGGCCATGAGTTTGAGCTCCACGTTGGGTATAGAGATTACTTAAATTAACAAATATTTTTTAAAAAAGAGGCGCTTGGGTGGTTCAGTCGATTGAGTGTCTGACTTCGGCTCAGGTCATGATCTCATGGTTGTGAGTTCAAGCCCCATGTCAGGGGCTGTTCTGTCAGTGCAGAGCCTGCTTCAGATCCTCTGTCTCCCTTTCTCTCTGTCCTTCCCCCACTCATGCTCTCTCTCAAAAATAAATTAACTTTTAAAAAAAAGGAAAAAAATGAGGATATTATATCTAAAAGGACATGTAGTTATGTCTTTTAGGGTTATGTAATAAAAGCATTATTTTATTGGGGTTAAAGACTGAATACTGGTGAATGTCATCAATTTTAGACATTTATAAAATGAAAATAGGTAATTTTTGTGATAATTGGAGGAACTGTTAAATAGAACTTAGAAGCGAATTTGTGTGGCATAGCATTACATCTTTTTGAGTCAACATACATGTATTTATTTTTCATAGGACATTAAAGGACTCAGCAAAAAAAGAAAGATGTATCCTGAAGATAAACCTTTATCATCTGAGTCCTTATCAGAATCAGATTACATTGAAGAAGTAAGTATATGATCAAATCCATTTTCTTCACTTGAAAATGTTATTTGATGGGGCGCCTGGGTGGCTCAGTCAGTTGAGTGGCCGACTTCGGCTCAGGTCATGATCTCACGATCAGTGAGTTCGAGCCCCGCGTCGGGCTCTATGCTGACAGCTCAGAGCCTGGAGCCTGTTTCGGATTCTGTGTCTCCCTCTCTCTGACCCTCCCCCGTTCGTGCTCTGTCTCTGTCTGTCTCAAAAATAAATAAACGTTAAAAAAAATTTTTTTTTTAAATGTTTATAAAAAAAGAAAATGTTATTTGATTTTGGGGTGCTTGGGTGGTCTAGTTGGTTAAGTGTCCAACTCTTGATTTCAGCTCAGGTCACGATCCCAGGGTCATGAGATTGAGCCCCACATCCGACTCCGCACTGACAGGGAACCTGCTTAAGATTCTCTCCCTCTGCCATTCTCCCCCCATCATGTGCATGCTTGCTCTCTCTCTCTCTCTCTCTCTCTCTCTCAAATATAAAAATAATTGTTCAGTTATTTGATTTTAATAAAAGAAATTAGTTAAAAGAAATATGTCATGAATATTTGATTTACTCACTTCTCTAGTCAGTGTGCTATGAAAAAGAAATGGAAGTTCTATTTCAGAACTAGTTTTTCATTTCCTAGAAGATAATTAATTATATAGCTAATATTATAATTAACCGTATTTACAAATATCTATTCTGAGCTATTTTTTAATGTTTATTTATTTTCGAGAGAGCACAAGATGGGGAGGGGCAGAGGGAGGGGAAGAGAGGATCCAAAGCAGGCTTTGCACCGACAGCAGCGAGCCCAGTGTGGGGCTTGAACTCATGAACCATGAGATCATGACTTGAGCTGAAGTTGGACACTCAACTGACTCAGCCGCCCAGGCGCCCCTATTTTATTTTATTCTTCTAATATTTACTTTTTACTATACTGCTATTTTGATTACGTGAAAGATGCTGTTTGATGTGTAGTGTATTGAAACGTAGCATTCCCTTGTTTTTATTTGGAACTACTACTATTTAAGAAGTAGAACAGTGATGAGATAGAGCAGAAATGTTGCTGTGATCTTTTTTCCTATCTATAAGGTGAGAGGAGAATTAGGTAGTCTCTATACTATGGTCCTTTTCAGCTCTGATATCCCTATCTTGGATTTTGTTTGTATTCTGTTAGAATAAGAGTCCATTTTTAGATAATTTTAGGTCTGTAAGTTACCATCTTTAAAGTGTTTTTCTCTTGGATTTTGTTTCCTCATTTGTAAAATAGGGCCTATTGCTCACCTTTTGTAATAGTATTTTGTAATACCCCTCTGAAATGAAATTGAAATGAATTGAATTGAAATTGGTAGCACATATATATGTATTACAGATCTGATCTACACATTTTATATTAATATCCCCTAACATATTTTTTAATATATAAGAAAATATTAATGTATAATTTTACTAAATTTTATTTCAGTGCATAAATGCTGAGTGTGATAACACCAGAATACATAAAATCTTAAGACATAACAAAATCCAAGCTGTAGCAGGTACATTACATAAACCCTTCAAAAACTCTAAAGTAGCATTGTCATCAATGCATTTTCCAAAACTCAGTAAAGCTCTGGATGAATGAAACAAAATACAGTCTTCCCTTTGTTTATATGATATCTGCATTTCTGGGATGTGCAAACAGGGGTTTAAGGTATAAGAAGGCATTTAAAATGCCATTTGATTGTCAAAATGGTTTTTACCTATAAATTTTAAAAAAATGTCTTGAGTGCAAGTTACATATTTGTCTTCTCAACAAAAATTCAAACTTTTTAGGTACGAGCAAAAAAGAAGAAAAGCAGTGAAGAACGAGAAAAAGTAATAGCAAGTATCATTTAAATTTATACATGACAATAGCGTGGTTCTTTTTGTTAAGATAAAATGAATCCTTATAAGGCATGACTTCATTTACTGGGCCTAAATATTTATTGGGAAAAATGTGGTATTCAGCTTTACTTAATGGGTTAAAGCAAGTTAAATTGGCTTAGGAGAAAGGAAGAGTATCCTAGTAGTAAACGTGTCCTGTTTCCATTTCAGTGTTTTATTCAGCATTTCATTTTATTTTATTCCATATTCAGTGCTGTTAGAAATGAAAACTCAAACTTTTTTTGGTTTTCTTAAGCTGTAATATGAAATATGAGATTTAAGTATGGTGATTCCCTCATCTTCAATAGAAGTTACTTTCAGATCAGCCAAACCTATAACAACAGAAAAACCCTGTAAGCACAGGATGCAATAAAAAATAAAGCAGGAATGTGACAACATAAATGATTCACTAATAAAGATGATTCTTTTGATTATTTCTAAAGCCAGCTCTGCTATTATGCAAATTGAGAAGTATAAAAGGAGAAAGAAGGAAGAGGAGAATAAAGAAAATGGAAGTGATATTCAAATGAGAAGCAGACCAACCTGGGGAAAGTGGATAACAGATTATCAAAGAGTAATTGCAGACCATATCATTAAAGTAATTTAGGAGCACTCAGTATAAGCATGGGTGATTGCCTTTGAAAGTATTTTCTTAGGGAGAGGTAGAAGAAAAATGAGAACAGCATCTTTTGTAGGTTTGAGGGTTAACTTCCCTTTCCTGGACTTTCACTCACTCTTAAATGAGGGTCTTTTTCTGGTAGAAAGAATCACTTGGTAATACATGACTCAGAAGTAACATTTACTGTGCTTCTGACCAAGGCGACATTTAAGAGACTTTTTTTTCTGAATGGGAATATAATTTGAGTGAAAACTGCTTTGGTCTTTGGTTCAGATTAACTAAGACATAATAGTTAATTTAGGATAGTTCTAATTTGTACTTGCATACCACACTGTTTTCGTGCATTCAGCTAGCATATGTTTATTAAGCATCTCTATGCAGGCACTATTGGTGTTAGTAGTGTTGTTATAATGGAATACAAGATGGATAAGAGGATGATATGTAAGAAAGTGACTTTGGGGAAGGAAAGCCTTTCTGAGGAAGTAAAATTAAGCTGAAATAGGATTTACAAGAAAGAACCAACCATGTGAAGATCAAAAGAAGAATATCCTAAACAGAGAGGAGCTAAGGACCTGTGGTAGGAATGAGCTTGATTTGTTTGAAGAATGGAAAGAGTAAGCATGGCTTACACCTAGTAGATGAAGAGGAATTGCATACAGTGAGGTTGGGAAGTAAGCAGAGGCCATGTCACGTAGCCAGGTGTTTCAGTTTTAATCAGAATGCTTTGGGAAGCTATTTTGAGTGTTTTTAACAAAGAAGGGACCTAAATCAACTTTACATTTTTAAAATACTGTGGCAGAGATGGAGTAGAGAGAGGTGAGGAATGGTGTTCGTATTACAGTGGTAGTAGTGAGGATGGACTGGTGTGATGGATTTGAGTTACGTTTTTGGACTTAGATGGTAGGGCTTACTTGCTGCTTTGGATGTAGAGAGTGGAGTTAAGACAGAGTAGAGCCAACCGCAGCTTAGTTTCTTTGCCTTAATAGAGGTGCCATTTACTAAGATAGCTAAGAGAATTTGGAGAGAAAAATTAGCATTTTTATGGTAATTTTAGATACACTTGTTAGGTATCCAGGAAGAACTCACAGTCTTGAGTTCAGAGCAAGGACTAGATAGGAAGATTTGGTATGTAAGTACTATTAAAAGCATGGGAGACAGAGAGCATGTGGAAAAGGAAGGAGGTCCTGAAAGGTCAAGCAGAGGAATAAGAACAAGGACGGGAGGTGAAAGGGTCTTTGCAGTAGAAGAAAGCAGCAGAGGGGCGCCTGGGTGGCGCAGTCGGTTAAGCGTCCGACTTCAGCCAGGTCACGATCTCGCGGTCCGTGAGTTCGAGCCCCGCGTCAGGCTCTGGGCTGATGGCTCAGAGCCTGGAGCCTGTTTCCGATTCTGTGTCTCCCTCTCTCTCTGCCCCTCCCCCGTTCATGCTCTGTCTCTCTCTGTCCCAAAAATAAATAAACGTTGAAAAAAAATTTTTTTTAAAAAAAAGAAGAAAGCAGCAGACTGAGGTGTTGTGGAAGCCACGAAGAAAAGTATTTTAGAAAGAGAGTAGTCAACTGTGCTTTTATGAAAAAGCAACCTAGACCCAAAACGTTTAAAGGGCCAAATACAGGGAATTTTGTAAAATTCCCTGTGCACTTGATCTTTTCATGAAGAGAATGATGAAAGTTAGCTTAAAGCTGCTAAGTGGTAGAGACCTTTGAGAGGGGCAGGGGGATTATGGAAAGTTCTTATTGATTCAGAAATGATAGGAAGCTTTGCTTTTGCTGTCTTTACACGTCTCCTTTCTTGCTTTTTTTTTCCTTTCTTGCTTTTTATTTTCTTTTGCAACAACTAGTCTCTCATTTGATAACCACTTTTCTAAGTATCTGTTTCTAAGAGTTCCGCCTTCTCTTCTACATCAGAAATAGTCACAAGAGTCTGAGTTCAACAAAATTGTAGCTCTCTTTATCTAGTCATGAGTTGACTACTTTTTCTAGGCTTTAGTGGCATTTTTGTCTAAAAAGTAAGCATCTGAATGCATGGCTGGTTCTGCAGGTACAGCGTATGACTCTTGATCTTGGGGTTGTGAGTTGAAGCCCCATGCTGGGCATAGAGCTTACATAAAAGCTTTTTTAAAAAATTAAAGTTACTAAGCTAAGTAGACTTTTCAACTGTACATCAGTATTTTGTACCAGTTAGTTGTTAATTTAATAATTAAAATAGTTACCAGTGAAGACAGGACCTAATAATTATGTTCCTGTTTACCCAAAAAATACCAGATTTAATATATATATTTTCCAAAAACTGTCATTTATAAAAACAGTTGTGTTTTGCTGTGATATGAGGACTTCTTTGCAATAACTACAATTACTTCGCCTTTACAAATTATATAGTATGAGATACAGCAGTTGATATGATTATTCATAGAATTTATTTTCTATAGAAAGTTTTATTTAGAAACTACATTAATGTGCTAATGACTTAAGAATTTTTCCATATCTTTTTGAAAACAAGCACTCTTAGTCCTCATGATATTAATTATTTAGACTTTTCCAAAAATGTTCCGAATAGTTTACTTGGTTGTGTGGATTGTTTGAAATAATTATATAGTAGCTTAGAAGTACCATGGTAAAGTTGTTTTAGACTTGCATATTTTCCTGTAGAAATGTCTAACAGGGAACTCTCTTTACAGGAAAAAACAAAAAAGAAAAAGAAGCATAAGAAACACAATAAGAAGAAGAAAAAGAAGGCTGCTAGTTCAAGTCCCGACTCGCCATAATATTAAGAAAAATCAGGATTCCTTTATAAAGAAAGTGCAATGTCTAAGGAAATCTCAACTGTGAAAATTATGACATAATTACTAAAATGCATGAATTTTCTTGTTTTTAGAATTATTACTGGACTATTCAGTAGCCACTTGGATGCCTCTGTGTGAAAGGGCCATAATTGTTGCCTGCTGCTTGAACATCAGTTTTTTCTCTTCCAGTGCTTAACAACTCTGGGAGATAATACATTGCAGTTGTGCTAGTGGTTAAGATATTTGGGGATAAAGTTAATATTTTTGACTTGAAGTATCTAATGATAAATCAACAGAAATCGAATCTGGATATATCATTAAGATGTAATTAGAAATGACCAGATGACTCGAGTTAACATTTTGGAAATAGGGATTACATTGATATTTCAAAATCCTTATTCTGTAGATAAGTGTATTTGAATTTTTTCCCCTTATATACTTTTATTTACCCGGGGAAGGAGCTTTTAGGGTTGGGGGGGGTGGTTTGCTATCTCTTTAGCTAGCAGAATAGCGTGCCTTTTATCCTCACACATCCTATTTTTGTGGACACAGTAGCCATGCTTCATGGGGAGGTCAGAGCTGGTACAGCAGTCTTGCCCTTAGACATCCTTGGACTCTTGTCATTTGCTGCTTTAAGTGAACCAGAGTAACAGCCTTTTGCAGCACGACAAAGCCCCAAAAGCTCTGGGATTTACCTCCACTTCAATAATACTGAATGTTTTTTAGCATTAGAATGTGTTATAACATTTGAATTAATTTTGACTACACTTTGGCTTTGGAGAGGAATCATTTCCAATAGACACTGGTACTTTTTGAACTTGATAGCTAAAGATTCTAAAATGCATGTTTTATACTGTTAGTTTTAACCAGTCAGGAAAATTTTATGTAACCAGTGATAGTTATTTTATTTTTGTATGAATTTTGTTTAGGCTGCAGTGTTTAGCTTTTATTAACTCCTTATTCTTGCTGTCTTAAATTCCATACTGTGTTTAATGGCATACTTGCCAAGATACTTAGCATGTAAAAAAAAAAAAAAGCAGACTTCTAATTTTTTTTTTTTTTTTTCCAAACAGCTTCATATTGAAGCTGAGTCTTACCATAAACAAGTTGAGTGGCAGGCCTGGTATGCTGTGTCTTGTTACATAAAGCTATTGCCAGAATCTTAGTAAATATAACATTTTAGAAATTTGTCTTTGTATATTCATAACAAATTATGACAAGTTAAGTGAGAATTACATTATTGCTCTTCCTGTCATATTTTACTAAGATTTTGTGCCTCATATCTACTGCTGAATTGTTTACTAGTAACGTTAAAAGGAATTGATAAATCATTTTCACTTTACATTTTTATATAATCAGGTAACATGAAATATAATTTGATGTACAATTTTGCCTGTTTCAGAGGGTGTGCTAATTATAGTGGTATATGCACAAAACATTTTGGCATGACAAGAGGCTGAATAAATAGCTATTTTACTTAAAAATAGCTGTGTTCTTATCAGCTCCCTTTGAGTTGCAAGTAAAGTTATAAAGATTAAGAAACACTACTAGGGGTTCAATGGTAGGTGGATAAGACATATCCCCAAATTTTTAGCTGTAAAAATTATTTATTTCTTGGTAAACTTCCTTAAATTTTATGCTTAAAGCTTCATACTCTTTCCTAATAAAAGATATGTAGGGGCACCTGGGTGGCTCAGTCAGTTAAGCATCCAACTCTTGGTTTCGGCTCAGGTCATGATCTTGAAATTGTGAGCTTGAGACCCATGTTAGGCTCTGTGCTGACAGCGCAGACCCTGCTTGGGATTCTCTCTCTCCCTTCTCTTTCTGCCCTCTCTCTCTCTCTCTCTCTCTCTCAAATAAACTTAAAGAAATAAATAAAAGATATGTATATGCTCTTGAGTACACAATAAGTTTTGAGGAACATTTTTTTATCTGAAAGGAAGTTTCTTAGAATCGTTGTTCAAGAAAATGCTAAAAGATAAGTTTATCAGTTTATTTGGTGATCAGTTTTGGTATGAGCACACTGGTCCCGAATGTGATGATTATATCAAATTAGAAAGCAACGGTTATTAGACTGAGGAATAAGGTGACCTGGCAAAAAAACTGTTCTTTCCAGGCTGTGTTGACTGTCTGCGAAACACCTTTTTCATTGCTTCTGTGATGGTAGCCTTAATAGTCTTCTTTCTAATAAGCTATGGGAAGAAAATTTGATAGAGTAATGTTATGTGCAAGTCCCTAACATTTCTTTCTTCCTTCCACCAAACCACCCTTTTTCTTGAATACTTTTATACTAGTTTTATAAACACAGGGCATGTTATCTGGATAATGATGCCAAGGTAACTGCAACAAAATTGATGAGTGTCTGAATCGAAAAATTGAATTTATACCAGTACTTCTCTGTCTGATTGTTTTGGATTCATTTGGTTGCCTTTAGTGTATATTTAGGTGTTTTATTTTAAATACCGTAAGATTGTTCTGAGTTGACTTTATCCAGAATATAGGTTCATATTCCTCCAGTCAAGGTGTGCTAAAAGTCTTTTGCCTCATTTGCTTTCATTTCATAGAGAATAATAGACTAGCCTTGGAGAAACTGAGAACAGTTATTCTTCAGACTTAAGTGACAGGTTTCACACTTTTAAAACATTGCCAGTTTTCAACTTAATTCAGTGAACACAGTATTTCCTAAAGAAAAGTTTTGGGAGAGCTTTTGTGTTCCAGTTGTGTTTGCATTATTTTACTTTTTTATAATTTGTTTTAATTTTTTTTTGTAATCTCTATACCCAACATAGGGCTCAAACTCATGACCTCAAGATCAAGAATTGCACGCTCCTCCAGTCGAGCCAGCCAGGCTCCCTACATTTGCCTTATTTTAAAATTTACTTTATATTTTATTTAAAATTTGTAAGAATATTGTATTCGAAATTTTAAAATTCATTCTGGTACATTTTCTTGCCTTACTATAGTGAAAGCCAGTAAACAGACTAGGAAATGTTTGTTCCCTGTATTAGGATTTGACAGTAGAGTTAGAACAGTTGTTATTTTGGCCAGCTTTGGCATAGTCACACCATGCTTTCTTACCAGTCAGTCAGGTATAAGTTGGAGGGGTACTAGTGGGGTTTTACATTTTTCTAGGAGCTCCCAGATTGAAGTCTCTCTTACGAGAAGATGCTTAAAGTTTTTTAAAGGAGGTTATGTAATCTTTGAAAGAGCTATTTATAGCCTAGAAAAATATGTCCACTTAAAAATAAGATCCTTATAATTTTATTTAGTTGTGTGTTCAGTTAGGAAGGAAACATTTTCAACCATACAGTTTGTGCTGAGGAAATATAAATGACAATAATATCAAGTACCACTTTAAGTGGTGTTTAGCCCTAAAGAAAAGATAAATGTAGGAATTGCTGTAATATTTCAGATCACAATAACATTCATGGAATCATTGCATTTGTTTTGAGTGCTAACAACCGTTGTTGCATATTTTTGCAATCACTTGAGAACCTTTTGTGGTTGCTGGAATGTTGCCGCCGTCACATTCTGTTGGTATAGAGTAATGAACTATGGAATCAGTGACAATCCAAGACATGTAGGCTTGGAACTAGGCTATCTGAGAACTCTACAGTGTGTTGAAGCAACACTTGACATGGACCAGAAGACTCTGAAGAAACTGGTGGAATCCATTAGTAATACTGTCAAGAACTGTGAGTACTAACCAGACATCCAGCACTGCCTGAATATCTTTATTCAATCAGATAGAAACATTGATAGATACATTGGACATTAACAGGTTCTTTGTAACACCCAAAATAGAGTTCCTCTAATTTCTGTCTAATGTTTTGGCCATTTAAAAAAATAGATTACAAGTGAATTTACAAGATCCCTGCACTACACTGAGAATATTTTAATCAGGTTCCTAAAATATATTTGTGTATGTGAAAAGAAGAATTTGAGAACTTATGTGACATATGTACTAAAGGATTATCTGCCAACCAAGGACTCGTTCTGTTAACAGTCTGAAATTTAATAAGAGATCTCAAACTCTAAAGGCTTACCTTGACCAATTCCCTGAGTTCTCTGGCACAAAACCCATAGAGGCAGAGGATTGATAGAGCTATAGAAGATATTTTAGTTGCTGAAGAAATAAGCATGGTACTTTGCACATAGCAAATGTTTATTAAAATTAATGTAACAGATTGGGGGAGGGGGGAATCCTTGCCCTGACAGACCTTAAAAAGTAATCTTAGGTATCTTGTCTCACGGGCATGACAACAAGCAATCCTGACTGAGATCCATTTTGACAATGTCTTTGGACTTTGAGGAAATGACTTTTATTTCAGACACTAGTACAGCCTCGTTGGGCACTTCCATTTTTCCTTGTGTGGTCTCAGTAGGTCTCAGTAGTACCACCCTAAGAATCTTGTTGGTAGACTTAATTCAGTTTTCTCTCATTTCAGTTATATTTTAAATGATCCTCAAGCACTTCTAGGGCCTGTTTTTGCAATCTTGCTGTTCTTCAACCCTTAAAATCCATCTAGCAGATTTAACCAAAGTTGAATGTAATATCTACTGTTATTTGCCGTTTTCTTTTTCTTTTATTTTTTGGAGATTGGTTTGCTTTCTGTTTAATTTTTTAAACATTTTTAAGGTTTATTTTTAAAGATTTATTTATTTTTATGTTTTCTTATTTTTGAGAGAGAGAGGGAGACATAGACTCCAAAGCAGGCTCCAGGTTCTGAGCTGTCAGCACAGAGCCCGACACAGGGCTTAAGCCACCCAGGTGCCCCTTTAATGTTTATTTTTGAGAGAGAGAGTGTGAGTGGGGGGAGGGCAGAGAGAAAGGGAGAGATGGAATCTGAAGCAGGCACCAGGCTCCCAGCTGTTAGCGTAGAGCCTGACATGGGGCTCGAACCCATGAACTGTGAGATCATGACCTGAGCTGTAGTTGGACACTTAACCAACTGAGCCACCCAGGTGCCTCTGTTTTTTTTTTTTGTTTGTTTGGTTTTTTTTAATTTTTTTTTACATTTATTTATTTTTGAGAAACAGACAAAGCGTGAGCGGGGGAGGGGCAGAGAGAGAAGGAGACACAGAATCTGAAGTAGGCTCCAGGCTCTTGAGCAAGCAGTCACCACATAGCCTGATGCGGGGCTCGACTCCACAAACTGAGATCATGACCTGAGCTGAAGTCGGACGCTCAACCGACTGAGCCACTCAGGTGCCCCTATTTTTAATTTTAAGTTTATTTTGAGAGAGACAGCTGAGTGGGAGAGAGGAGAGAGAGAGAATCCCAACCAGGCCCCGCGCTGCCAGCACAGAACCCAATGCGGGGCTTGAACCCACGAAGCCGTGAGCTCATGACCTGAGCCAAAACCTGGAGTTGGGACACTTAACCGACTGAGCCACTCAGGTGCCCCTATTTGCTGTTTTCTTAACCTGAGTTTTAAACATTCAAAAGGAAATTTTGCATACTTTAAAAATCTAACTCCTCTCCCCATCCAAATGAAACTACTTCTAGCCTGCTACCCAAATGTGTGTTTAATACCATAATTTGTTATTTGAAAACAATTCTCTGAAAGTATGGGTAATATAAGTAAAGAATATGTAATACTAGATCGGGCCCGCTTCCCATACAGTCTCCTACAAAGAAGATACTGAACAGTATCTTTCAAAAGAGGAATGAGTTGCATTCCTTTTGCAGAATTTTGACACTAAATTAGGATCAAAAGTTCAGTGTAACCAGATTACTATTTTATACTGAGATTATTAACAACTCATGTTTATTAAGCTCTTCATTGGGGAAATGGTATGCTTAATGGTTTATCTTCATCTTCAAGTCTCAGGAAAAAAACCCAATGAGGTAGGTGAAATTTTCCACATTTTCAGATGAGGAAACCAAGTCTCAGATTGTCTAAAATGACAGTGAACTTTTCTGGTGGAGGCAGAGCTAGAACCCAGGTAAGTCTGATACCAGAACCTGCATTTCATCTTCATTTCTCGGTGACCTAATAAGCATTCTAGACTTCTCACGGTCATTCTGTATAGTGCTCTCCCATAGTGAATGCAAAATAAAAATTGTTGAATTCAGCTCAGTTCTTGGGTCCTTGAGTTGAAAAACCAGACTGGCCTCTCATGACTGGAACTTGGGTGTTTTTTTGTTGTTTTGAGATTTTGTTTTTAGTTTGTACACCCAACATGGGGCTCAAACTCACAACCCTGAGATCAAGAGTTATATGTTCTACTGACTCAGCCAGCCAGCCAGGTGCACCTAGAATTTGCTTCTCAATGGGTAGGACTGGGGAGAGCTAACAAATAGTACCACCTTGGCCTTCCCTTCTCAGGAAGAGATTGTCTTGGGGTGGCTGCATGGTTCAGTTGGTGGAATATGTGACTTGATCTCAGGGTCATGAGTTCGAGCCCCACACTGGGGGTAGAGTTTACTTAAAAAGACAAAAGGGATCGTCTTACTATTTCTCTTGGTGTACATAGATAGTTTTAGTTGTCATGTGCCAGAAAGTTGAGATGGCTTTTCTTGGGCTTTGCTTTAAAGTTTCTTAAGAGGGAGGCTTCATAATTTACTAGGCCTACATGTGCCACATGGCTTCTTGAGTCCAAACTACTAGATTGTGTGACTCTGATCCTCCACTATTTCCAGTGACCTCATGAAGAAAATTCATTACCTTACCAAGCAGCTGTTGATTTTTTTTCATACAGCTCTAGAATATAAAACATTGTAGAGCTGTATTAACCAGTATAGTAACCACTAGCAATGTGTGGCTATTTATTTACTTAAAAATTTTTTTAAGTAACCTCTACACCTAAAGTGGGGCTTGAACTCGTGACCCTGAGATGAAGAGTTGTCCTATGGTCTACCGACTGAGCCAGCCAGGTGCCCCATTTTTTAAAAAGTATGTGTGTGGCTATTTAAATGTAAATTAAAATGAAGTAGAGTTTTTTAAATCTTTAGTGGCAGTGGCAGATCATTACCTCAGGGCATAGTAAATGGCTTCATGTGTGTGCAACCTATGCATTGTCATGGGGCCCCACGCTTAATTTAATGTTCCACTAACACTTAATGTTTTCAATGAGGGCCCCATGTTTTCTTTGCATTGGGCCCGCAAGTTCTGTAGTTGATCTTGGCTGTATACCTCTTATTCATAGTATGGTAGGAGTATCTCCAGCATCAGAATCACCTAGGGGCGCCTGGGTGGTGCAGTCGGTTAAGCATCCGACTTCAGCCAGGTCACCATCTCGCGGTCCGTGAGTTCGAGCCCCGCGTCAGGCTCTGGGCTGATGGCTCAGAGCCTGGAGCCTGTTTCCGATTCTGTGTCTCCCTCTCTCTCTGCCCCTCCCCCGTTCATGCTCTGTCTCTCTCTGTCCCAAAAATAAATAAACGTTGGGGAAAAAAAAAAAAGAATCACCAAAAGATGCTTACTGACAATGTAGATTCCTGGATACCACCCTAGGCACATTTAAATATCTCTGCGAGTGGAGCCAATCATCCAGATTGTTCACTCCATTTGTTCTTGGACACACTGAAGTGTAGGGTTTCCTGATAAATCCCTAGTCTCTCCCAGGTGAAATTTCAGTTCTATCAACCTAATTGCAATCACAGCTTGATTAATAGTGAGTTAGGAATTGACCCAGTCTTTTTCACACATATTGTTCAGCCATAATTTTTACACATACAGACTAAGAAATTTTTTTAAAGCTCAGTGAACAATTTTAAAACTTTCTAATAATTTCATGTTGTTTGATTCAAGTGATTATTTTGGCATCTAGAGCTTACTTTGGATCCTGTCTCCTCCAGTATATTCCTTTACCTCATTTGTGTACAAGGAGTTATCATTTACTTAGCAAACATTTATGTGAGAGCCTACCATTGTGCTTGGCACTACTGGATACTGAGTAGATAATTGACATAAGAGTAAGAGATTTTTGTTATATGCCTTCCTAAAATGCAAATATTTTGTGGGTTTTTTTTTAATATGTATTTATTTATTGGGGCGCCTGGGTGGCTCAGTTGGTAAGCATCCGACTTCAGCTCAGGTCATGATCTCACTGTTCGTGAGTTTGAGCCCCGCATTGGGCTCTGTGCTGACAGCTCAGAGCCTGGAGCCCCCTTCAGATTCCGTGTCTCCCTCTCTCTCTGCTCCTCCCCCACTCACACTCTGTCTCTCTCTCTCAAAAATAAATGAACATTTGAAAAAAAATTTTTTTTAATTTATTTTGAAAGAGAATGGGGGAGGGACAGACAGAATCCCAAGCAGGCTCTGTACAGAGCCCAACAGGAAGCATGATCTCACAAATAGTGACATCATGACTTGAGCTGAAATTAAGAGTCACGTGCTTAACCAACTGAGCCACCCAGGCTCCCCTAAAATCCAGATACTTTGTGAACTGCATTTCTCTGACCCACTCCTACTAGAAGGAGGAAATAAGATAAATCTAGTATGATTAGCCCTTATGAACTCATGAGCCCTGAGTGTTCGTGAGGTAAAAAATACAATTGATCATCTCTTCCGGGACTTAGCCCAGGACCACCTATAGACCCAGTGGTCCAATATTTGGCTTTCACTTCATTTGTCACACATAACATGGGCCAATATGTATGCATATATAGGTAGGTATACATACATATTTTCCAGCTTTGTCTGCTGAGAGGGCTTAGAAATATTCCACTGTACCCATCCCAGCTCCTGGTTATGTATTGGGCTTAGAAATATTCATCTCCCAGTAGTAATAAGCACACCCAGTGCATAATCCTTGGTGTTTGAATACCAGTCTCCAATAAAAACAACCAGGATTCCTTGAAGAAATAGCCACACAGAGTGTAAAGGAAAACCTATGCTATACCTTGTTTCTCTTTTACTGACACTACTCTGCTACACTTCTTGACACTTCCAGTCTCCAACTGTGTGGTTTTTTCAAGCAAGCAATTTTCTGTGACATCGGCTGGGTACCCTACAATTTCTCAGTTCTGACACTACCTGAGATGGCATCAGATCCTGTACGTTGAGTTCAATGCCACAAGACTGTCTCCCACTTCAGATGCCCATCACAAGTCCAGGTTGTTACCTGCATTTCAGACTAACTGGCTATAAATTGGAGGCCCAATTAATTTGCTAGAGCAGCTCATAGAACTGAGGAAAATTGTTTACTTAATAGATTACTGATTTATTATAGAAGGATACAGTTTTTAAAATACAAGGATACAATCAGGAGCAGACAGCAGAGATGCACAGGGCAAGGTATGTAGGAAGGGGCATGGAGCTTCCATTCCCTTTCCCAGGACCTTCATATGTTCACCATCCCAGAAGCTCCCTGAACACTTTGGGGGTCTTCATGGAGTTTTCATCACATAGGCACCATAGGTCATTAACTCAATATCCAGCCCCTCTGCACAATGGGGGATACAGCTGAAAGTTCCAAGCTTTTAATCATGGACTTTTAATCAAGTCTTTTTGGTGACTAGCTCCCAGCCAGGAGCCACTGGTAGTCGCCTCCTTAGAACAAAAGATTCCTATCACCCCTGATGTTCTAAGGGATTTAGGAGCTTTGTGTTGGGGGCCAGGGTCAATGACAAAATTGAACAAAAGATACTCGTGCTGCTCACATCATTTAGGAAATCCCAAGAGTTTTGGGAGCTATGTGCCAGGAACCAGGGACAGAGACATATATATATATATATATATATATATATTTCCTGTTACCTCACACAGGGAAAATATAAGATTGGCCTGGCAAGTAGTGCCAGAAAGCAAAGAAGTGAAAAAGCCAATGGGGTTGTGATGTGAAACATACAAGAGCCAACTTGAAAGCTCCCAAGGGCCAAAACTGGAACAATTTGAGTAAGATGACAGGATTGTTATAAAATAAGTGTATGTGACCCCCCCCCCCTTGCACACACCCTGACATAAATAATTGAGTAAATAGGGGAAAAAAGACCTCTTACTTTCATGAAAATTCCAAGTAATAGTATAGATACTCCTTCCCAAGAAGTGGAATTACATTTTCCCTAAAAGATTGGCTTCCAAAGAATAGATTGTGGAAAGGATAAATAGCAACTACAGTGGAGAACCCTGTAGACTAGCGTAATCAAGTGATCAAAGTTCTCAGCAGTTAATCTTGTATGTGTCCCCTGATATGTGAGAAGAACAGCAATTTATCTCTAGAATTCACCCCCCAAACCCCTAACCACAGCTTATTATGCAAAAAAAAAAAAAAAAAGACAAACCCAAATTGAGGAATATTATGCAAAATGAAAAGTCAAGGTTGGGCCCTCTGGGTGGCTCAGGTTAAGCATCCAACTCTTGATTTCAGCTCTGGTCATAATGTCACGGTTTGTGGGATTGAGCCCTTGTCCATGCTCAGCATGGAGTCTGCTTGGGATTCTTTTTTCCTCCCCTGCTCATACCCCTCTCAAAATAAATCAAAACTTAAAAAAAAAAAAAGTCATGAAAGACTAAAAACTATCATAAATTGGAGGAGACATGCCAGCCAAATGTATCCTGGCTTGGATTCTGGAATCAAAAAAAGCATGAGTGGAAAAGTGGTAAGATCTGTATGTTAATAATGTGCCGATGTTAGTGTATTCATTTTGATAATTGTACCACGGTTCTGTAAAGTTTTAATGGAGAAACAGTGAAGATTGGGAACTCTATCATCATTGCTTCTCTTGTGTAAATCTAAAGTTATCCCAAAATAAAGTTAAATAACATGAGCCAGTGCCTAGCACCTCACAATTCTCATTACCTAAGATCTCTCAAATATCATTTACAACGGTTCCTGGACCACATGAGTAAGGTCTTTAGCTGTAATGAAATGTGAGCTTACATGGATAAAACTCAGAAAAAATTACTACCTGTTGAAGATTTTGCCTAAAATCCTTGATAGCTGTGTTGGATGACTTGTTAATATTTGGCTCAGAGCAGCATCTGACTCTTAAAACCTCCCTTTCCTCAAGGAGGAAACTATTGTTGGTGCTAACATTTGCACTCCGATAATTCTCCATCACATTTAAGCAGGATGACTTTCAGGCAAACATTAACATACTCTACACTTCATACAGCACATCCACACCTGAGCTTCCTCTTTCTCTGTATTTTTTATGAGAATTCTTTCCAAGTTTTTGTCCTCAGAGCAGCTGCAACCCCTTCTGTGACCTAGCCTTGAAAAGTTCACACTGCCTCATTTCCACTGAGCTCTACTGGTTGAAATGTCAGAAAATGCCTTCCCTGTTTCAAATGAAGGAGACAGATCCCATCTCAGAGGAGTATCAAAGTCTTTGTAGAAAGAGCATATGGGATGGCATAGACTGTTAAAATTGTTTTGGGGAAGACACAACCATGTCACATGTGGACTCATTATTCATAATGTGGTTTTGAGAATCTACTGCCAAAGTGACCCTCCTTAAGTGCAAATATGATCTTAACTTGCCAGCCAAAATTTTTCAGAAACTCCCCATTGTAAAGTCTAGTCTGCCATGTGGCCATACCAACAACCATCTGCAGCTAGCTCTCAGAACATACCTTCATTGGGGCGCCTGGTGGCGCAGTCGGTTAAGCGTCCGACTTCAGCCAGGTCACGATCTCGCGGTCCAGGAGTTCGAGCCCCGCGTCAGGCTCTGGGCTGATGGCTCGGAGCCTGGAGCCTGTTTCCGATTGTGTCTCTCTCTCTGCCCCTCCCCCATTTATGCTCTGTCTCTCTCTGTCCCAAAAATAAATAAACGTTGAAAAAAAAAATTTAAGAACATACCTTCAAGCTGCCTCCTCTGGCAAGTGACCCCTCCTCCTTGGGACCTTTGTTAATTTCCTGCTACCTCCCCAGTTGATTATTCCTTCCTTTGGGTCACTGCCAAACACCATCAATCATAGTGCTGGCACTTTTTTTTTTTTTTTTCTTATCTCTTAGCCAAAGTGTAACAACTTTGTGGGCAGAAACCCTGGTGTATTCACTGCCTGGTTCACAGGAGGCCTTCAATATAAATTCTTATTGGATGGGTAAAAATGAGCTTTTTGTCATATTTCTGAGCTTATAGTTACACTGTGTAGCCTGCTAAATCGAATCCCTTAATTCTCAGTCCTGATCAATGCATTAAAATCACCCTGCACTTCTTTAAAAATACCCTTTCCTAAGTCTGGACTGAAATCCAAGTGTGTGAATATTGAACATTTCTGTTTGAAAATTAGTCACCAAGTCCCACTGATTTTCTGCAACATCTCAAGCTCCCTCCCACTTTTTCAACCCTCAGGGCCTAGAAGAGTCAACTGAGGTCTTGTTTTTTAAAAGCTAATTCCTGGGTCTGATGTTAGTGATTCTGACTTGGTAAGTCAAGTAAGGCTTGGGAATCTGCTTTTGAACAAACAAAGGAGAGGCTGTGGATTTCTCTCATTCAAATGGTCCTGGACGGTCCATTAGAAACACTGCTCCAGTAAAATGTAGTTGACCCTTGAACAAAGTGTAGGATATAAGCACCAACCCCTGCAATACAGTTGAAAATCCATATATAACTTTTGACTCCCCAAAAGCTTACCTATCAATAGCCTACTGCTGACCTTACTGATAACATAAACAATCAACCTGTTTTGTATGTTTTATATATTATATACTGTATTCTTAAAGTAAGCTAAAACTTTTAAGAAAATCATAAGAAAAATACATTTACAGTACTGCGCTATATTTATTTTTTATTGCATTTAAGTAGACCCACAGTTCAAACCTATGTGGTTCAAAAGTCAACTGTAAATGTTAATTTTCTGACTAGGCATTCAAGGCTCTCTGCCATCAGCCCGTCCTCTTCAATCCTGTTTTTTCACTTCTTCCTAACTTGCTGTGCTCCCAATAAAGCATGTTCAACTTCAACCACAATTCTACCTCTTTCCTTTACCCATATTATCTCTCCCTGGAATTCTCCATTTTACCACCCCCAACACATTCCTTCCTGTAGAAATACAATGTATCCTTCCAAGTCTCTGTTCAAAGTCTACTCCCATGAAAATGACCTAACTCCTCTTTTCCACACTGATTTCTCTTTCTTCACATGTCTGTAGTAGTGAGCATTATGTTACATAATTTTTCATTTACATACCGTCTTACTAGTCTTCTGGTGACACCCACCTTAATTGCATAAGCCCTTAAGTAACAAGTGATGTCATTCTTTTTTTAATCACTTAGAGCATCTAGCATCATAGGAAAAAAATAGCTGCTTAGTAAAATATTTTTAATTGGAGTACTCATTGAGTAAGTGTAAGTTGTACTTATTTGTATTTTTATTTTACAGTCAAAAAAAGTGAAGTAGAATGTCTCATAAGACTTTTTCACAGCTTGGTGGAAAGAGCTAATGTAAGACTTAATAACCTTGGACTAGATCGTAATGCTTTTCGAGCGATCCTGCACAGCGTATTTGGAATGACTGACGATATGCTAATGAACAGGGGTAAGAGGCTTAAGAAATGGAAATGGGCCAAGCTGAGATGGCGATATATATGATGTTCATAATTAATATGTGGCAAACATTTTTGTAATGACAAATTATATATATACACACACACACACATACATTTCCAATAATTTTGACTCTTAAAGATGGCTAAAACCTTTTTTTCCTCTCAATTTGGGAAGAAGGTTTATATATTTGAATTATAAAATAGCTTTAAATTACAATATACTTCTATGGTCTTTTTCTTTCAGTATTTTTTGTGTTTGACAAAGACCACGATAACTGCATAAATGTGAAAGAGTGGGTTAAAGGATTATCAGTGTTTCTTCGAGGGACTTTTGAAGAAAAGCTGAAGTGTAAGATTTCTATATGTGATTACTGACTTAGTAATATACAGTGTCAATTTTGTATTTAGTGAATGCTTAAACAAATTTAAAAAAATATAAAATCAATGTTCTCTATAGCAACCTTTCAAAAATAGTTTGTGACAGCTTTAAAAAAAATCAAAACAAATGAAATGGGTGGTCTGTTTGTTGGGAGAGTCCCTCCTTTAGACCTACACTTCCTTCACTGGTTCTGTAATGCCTAAATGTCACCAGGATGGGTCTTTGGGTCAAGTCCCAGGCGAAGACGAGCAAGTCAATGTCAGGGCTTGTGCCAACTCCGGGTTTCCCAGGATGGCTCTGGGCTCAGCAGGAAATGCGCCTTGATATCAGGTAGTGCATAAGTCACAGTGAAGACATTCCTCATCTCTTGAACAAAGAAAATAAATGTGAGGGATTGACACAAAACAAAATGAAATACACATTAACCACCAATATTCTAGTGTTAAAATTTGTGTAGATCAGTGAAGAGAGGAAAAGAGATTGAGGACAGAGAATGCCCACAGGGAGAATGGTTACAGAGAGAATTTCCTACAGGAAAGATATGTTAGTAATTCCAAAGACAAAAATCTTCCCATTCACAATTTTGCCTAGAAGTGAATAGCTCTGGCCTCACCTCGCCTGTACCATTGTTGTGATGTGTATTTTCTATGTTTTATACCTCTGGGTCCAGGTTTTGGGGTGAGGAACCCAGGAATGAGAATAGGAACAATTTTTTTAAGTTTATTTATTTATTTAGAGAGAGAGAAAGAGAGAGTGCAGGAGGAGCAGAGAGAAAGGGAGAGAGAGAATCCCAAGCAGTCTCCGCACTGTCAGCACAGAGCCCCACATGGGGCCTGAACACACAAACCATCAGATCATGACCTGAGCCGAAACCAAGAGTTGGATGCTCAACCAAGTGAGCCACCCAGGCGCCCCAAGAATAGGAACAATTTTTTTTTTATTTTATTTTTTAAAAAAATTTTTTTCAACGTTTATTTATTTTTGGGACAGAGAGAGACAGAGCATGAACGGGCGAGGGGCAGAGAGAGAGGGAGACACAGAATCGGAAACAGATTCCAGGCTCTGAGCCATCAGCCCAGAGCCCGACGCGGGGCTCGAACTCACGGACCGCGAGATCGTGACCTGGTTGATGTCGGACGCTTAACCGACTGCGCCACCCAGGCGCCCCTAGGAACAATTTTAAATGACAGTTTTCTAGGGAACAATTGCTTAAAGTGTCAAATTGCTTAGGAAAAGACTGCAGAATTCTGAGTAAATAAACAAATCTTTATCCCTTGTTCTTCCACTTAAATTTGGATTTGGAATGTTGAAAAGAAGATCCCTGGGGCGCCTGGGTGGCGCAGTCGGTTAAGCGTCCGACTTCAGCCAGGTCACGATCTCGCGGTCCGTGAGTTCGAGCCCCGCGTCGGGCTCTGGGCTGATGGCTCGGAGCCTGGAGCCTGTTTCCGATTCTGTGTCTCCCTCTCTCTCTGCCCCTCCCCCGTTCATGCTCTGTCTCTCTCTGTCCCAAAAATAAATAAACGTTGAAAAAAGAAATTTTTTTTTAAATAAAAAAAAGAAAAGAAAAGAAAAGAAGATCCCTAACGTTAAACACACATTTTACTTACTTATTTTTAAAAATTTTAGGTATTTATTTACTTTTGAGAGACAGAGTGCGAGCAGAAGAGGGGGAGAGAGAGAGGGAGACACAGAATCTGAAGCAGGCTCCAGGCTCTGAGCTGTCAGCACAGATCCCTATATGGGGCTTGAAACCACGAATCATTGACATTATGACCTGTGCCAAAGTCAGAGGCTTAACCGACTGAGCCACCCAGGTGCCTCTTAAACACACATTTTAAAAAATGATAGCAACATTAAAAAAAATCACCAACTTTCCTTGACATTTACAATTTTTTGTTTTGTGTTTTTTCTTTTAATTTTCTTTCTTTCTTTTTTTTTGAGGTAAAATTGACATTCAACATTATGTGGGGTTTTTTTTCCTTAACTTTTCTCCAGTTTAATTTTTCACAGGATAACATTGAAATATAGTTGCTACTTAAGGTTGTTGCAGCACTCTTATACAGAAGTCTCACCAAGAAGTGAAAAGCTAAGTTTTCATGCATGTAAATTCTTATGGTAATACTAATACATGGTGAAAATGGCTGTGACACTGAATACAGCTGTATGTGATTGAATAGCATCATGCTGTCAATGAATTTTCCTCCTCTAATCCTACTTCCTAAAACTGTTTCATATATATTTCAAGATATGTTAATCTGGGAAAAATGCCACTTTTCATAGGGTTGAGCTGCATGTGATGAGGAAATGGTGGGGTTCTGAGTGAACAGTCAAGCAAGAATTCTTGAGACACCTCTGGTGCAAGAAGGTGGTTTTATTAAAGCAGGGGACAGGACCTGTGGGGAGAAAGAGGTGCACTGGGGTTGTGACAATGGCTGATTATATACTTTCAAGTTTGGAGGGGGGTAGGGATAGCATAAGGTTTCCAGACCCTTGAGGGGCTGTTAGGAAAAAGTCATTTACTACTGTCTAATAAAACCTTAGTCATCCGACCCTTCAGATGTATACCAGTGGGTCATATGCCCACTGTTTACTAACATACAACTTGGCGGGGGGTGGGGGTAGAGAAAAAGGAAATGGTTACCAAAGAAATTTTTATTTATTAAAGGAGACTACTGGAGGTTGGGTTGATGTTAAGACTGCCTTTTGCCCATAGCAAAGTATCGACATAGAGACAGTTGAGTTCCTAAAGGAAAGTCACTCTGCGTATCTCAAGGACTTGTCCATGCACTACGAGTTGTCAGGAAATTTAATTTTTTTTTTTTTGCCTTTGTTCCCCACATCACATGTATGCTATGGATTGAAGAAACTCAACAAAAAGACACAGCTAATCTGATACTCTGGAATTTTATATTGATTCTATTGCTTTTGCTAAAACATTTAACTAGATTGCGAACTCCAGAAGAGTTCCTTCATTACTGTATTCTCAGGACCTGAGTAAGGTCATCTGTGGCATGAATGAATGTATAGAAGTCACAGAAGTTCCTCTTCAGGGAGAGAGTGGTCATTTTGGATAGTGCAGATGGGCAGACTTCCAAGGAGATGATGGACTCACTACACAGATATACTGAAAAATGTTCTTTGCCAGTGATATGCTGAAGTTTGTACTTAGTTTTTGTACTCTATGTAAGAAAATAATAATGAGATATACACACACGTATGTGTACACATGTGTATATATGTATTGCATGACCAAAGGTTTAAAAAAAATATTTACTTCTAGGGGTACCTGGCTGGCTCAGTCAGTAGAGCACGCGATTCTTGATCTCTGGGTTGTGAGTTCTAGCCCCATGTTGGGTATAGAGTTTACTTAAAAAGAAATTATTGGGGCACCTGGCTGGCTCATTTGGTTAAGTGTCTGACTCTTGGTTTCAGCTCAGGTCATTACCTCACAGTTCACAGGTTTGAGCCCCGCATCGGGCTCCTCACTGACAGTGTGGAACCTGCTTGGGATTGTCTCTCTCCCCCTCTCTCTGTCCCTCCCTAGCTCTCTCTCAAAATAAATAAATAAACTTTTTTTAAAAAAAGCAAATTTAAAAGTAAAAAGAGATCTCTTTTATTGCAGCTTCATCACATTTTTTTTGAAGTCTATACAGTTACTGTCTTTTATTTGTGTCATTCTACAGGAGATGCTCAGTTCTGGGTCACATAATACATATAAACCAATAACCATAATATAACATGATTACTTCAAAATCTATGTATTTTCAAAATACTATATGGGAGTGATGAGAAAGTGCTTTCTAGTGGATCTGGTGGATCAGAAGACACTTCCACAGAATAACTAGCATTTCAGTTAATTCTTGTAAATCTTGAGCAGAAAGAAACTAGAAGGAAGAGCAGGCTAACCAACAGGAATGAACATGTGGAGTTGGTAGAACTGATGTTGAGACATGTAGTATTAAGGTCAACTGAATGTGTATTATTAAGGTTGAATCGTCTACTGAGCAACATTCCTCTCCCCAACATTCCCTGAGAGGACAGCTATGAATCAACTATAATAAATAATGAAATATTGGATGGAGGCAGGAGAGTTTCCTAGATTGTTGAAGTTACCTAGGAAATAACAGTGGGGACAGAGAAGAGGAAAAGGACTATTAATATCTACAAATTGGAATTGATGGTTATCTCTGAACACAGAAGGTATTGTTTGTTTATAGTTTCAAGTACCTAAATTAACGTCATTGATTTCAAAGTATTCCAACTTTATTATTTTTTTAAGTTTATTTATTTTGAGAGAGAGAGAGCATGAGCAGGGGAGGGGCAGAGAGAGAAGAGAGAGAATCCCAGGAAGGCTCCCTGCTGTCAGAACAGAGTCTGACGTGGGGCTCGATCCCACAAACTGGGAGATCACAACCTGAGCTGAAATCCAGAGTCAGACTCTTAACCCACTTAGCCAACCCAAGTGCCCCTAAAGTATTCCAACTTAAAAAAAAAAAAAGGCAGGGGGCGGTCCTTGAGTGGCTTAGTCGGTTAAGAGACTGGCTCTTGATTTCAGCTCAGGTTATGATCTCACAGTTGGTGAGATTGAGCCCCACATAGGGCTCTGCTGTTAGCGCACTTGGGAGTCTCTCTCTTCCCCCAATTGTGTTCTAACTCTCTCTCAAAATAAATACATGAACAACAACAAAAAGTATTACAGAAACAAGAAGTCCCCAACGTAGATAATGTAGTATATTAAAACATAGTTCCTAGATGCCAAGACAGAAAGAAAAATCTTAGGTATGTAAATTTCTAATGGGCCACTTTTTTTTTTTTTTTTTTTTTTTAGTGTTTATTTATTTTGAGAGAGACAGCATGGAAGTATGGAGGGGCAGAGAGAGGGAGAGAGAATCCCCAGCAGGCTCCATGTTGACAGTGCAGAACCCAACACGGGGCTCGAACCCACAAACCATGAATCATCCTGAGCATAAACCAAGACTCAGACACTCAGTCAACTGAGCCACCCAGGCACCCCTTTAAGGAGCTGCTTTTTAAATTAAGGCTACAATGTAAAGTACCTATAAGACTGATTCTCCAATGTGGATTGAAGACTGGTTTCAACTGGCTACATCGGTTTTACCTTGGGAACGTTTTAAAATAGCATTCTCTGAGCTACTACCACCAAGGAATCCATACTCTTATTTTGTGCTATATCAGGAGAAGTTCTGTTTATTTGTGTGTGTTTTTAAAAATGTTTATTTATTTTTGAGAGAGTGTGCAAGTCATGAACATTGAGATCATGACCTAAGCCAAACTCGGAAGCTTAACTGACTGAGCCACCCAGGCATCCCCATTTATTTGTTTTTTTTTAATTATGAAGATTTAGTATCAAATCTGTTCCTTACAAAGATCGCTTGATATCTAATCTGTAACTGTTTCCTCTCCCATCTAGGTACAGGTGAACAGGAATCTGCATCTTTATCAACTACTTTTTTCCCCCCAAATTCTTTTATTTTTCTAGTTTTATTGAGAAATAATTGACATATATCACTTTATAAATTTAAGGCATACAGATCAGTTCTACATATACTACAAAAATGATTACCACAATAGGTTCAGCTAACATCCATCTTCTTATATAGATACAATAAGAAGAAAAGTATAAAGGAAAAAAATATTTCTCCTTGTGATGAGAACTCTTAGAATTCACTCTCTTAACAACTTTTCTATATATCATACATCAGTGTTAGTTATGGTCTTCATGTTGTATGTTACTTTCCTAGTACATATTTATCTCATAACTGGAAGTTTGTGCCTTTTAGCCATCTTCCTCTAGTTCCCCCTCCCTCCAACTGCCCATCTTTGATCACCACAAGTCTGATCTCTTTTTCTATGAGTCTGTTGTTATTGTCAGGTTTCTTGTTTGTTTTGTTTTGTTTTTGTTTTGGGGATTCCACATATAAGGGAGGTCATAGAGTATTTGTCACTCCCTGTCTCAATTATTTTCCTTAGCATAATGCCTTCAAGTTTCACCTACGTTATTGCAAATGATAGCATTTTCTCATTTTTTATGGCTGAGTAATATTGTTATTTATATTTATTCATCCATTGATAGAAACTTAGATTGTTTCCAAACCTTGGCTATTGTACATAATGCTGCTATGAACATGGAGGTGCAGATATCTTTTTGAGTTAGTGTTTTCATTACCTTTGGATATATTCCCACACATAGAATTGCTGGGTTATATGGAAGTTCTATTTTTAATATTTTGAGGATCCTCCATACTATGTTCCATAGTGGCTCTACCAATTTATAATCATAACAATGGTAAATAAGCATTCCCTTTTCTGCACATCCACACCAGCATTTGTTATCTTATTTTTGGCATTTTTTGTTTATTTGTTTGTTTTAATGATAGCCATTCTTGCAGGCATGCGGTGATATCTCATTGTGGTTTTAATTTGCATTTCCCTAATGACTAGTTATGTTGAGCATCTTTTCCTATAGCTGTTGGCTTTTCATTTATCTTCTTTGGAGAAATGTCTATTCAGGTCCTTTGCCTATTTTTAATTTTTTTTTCTTTTTTGCTATTGAGTTGTAGGAGTTCCTTATATATTTTGGATATTAACACCTTATCTGATATTGTTTGCAAATATTATTTTCCCATGTCACAGGTTGTCTTTTCATTTTGATGATGGTTTCTTTTACTATGCAGAAGCTTTTTAGTTTGATGTGGTCCCACTTGTGTTTTTATTTTGTTGCTTGTGCTTTTGGTGTCAGAGCCATGAAATCATCACCAAGACCCATGTCAAGGAACTTGTTCCTATGATTTCTTCTAACAGTCTCATGGTTTCAGGTTTCATAACATTTTTAAACTCTCAATTTCAAATTCCACATTCCAAGGAGTATTTAATCTTGTGCCAATAAGTATAAAAGGTGCTTTATTTTAAAATTCATCTGTCTGGGGCGCCTGGGTGGCGCAGTCGGTTAAGTGTCCGACTTCAGCCAGGTCACGATCTCGCGGTCCGGGAGTTCAAGCCCCGCGTCAGGCTCTGGGCTGATGGCTCAGAGCCTGGAGCCTGTTTCCGATTCTGTGTCTCCCTCTCTCTCTGCCCCTCCCCCATTCATGCTCTGTCTCTCTCTGTCCCAAAAATAAATAAACGTTGAAAAAAAAATTAAAAAAAATAAAATTCATCTGTCATACAGACCAATAATTGTAGGTTGTATAAATTGTTTTTATCTTTTTAAAAACTATATATTAAAATAACTTAAGGAGAAGACTAGTGATATTTTAACTGTTCTTATCCAAGTCTTTACATTTCTTGTGCTTTGGACAGTCTGTTTTGAAGTTTACTATTTGAATGGTGATGGTTACATTTCTCGAGAAGAGATATTTGACATGTTAAAGAACAGTCTACACCAACAGTCATCTGAAGAAGAGAATGATGAAGGAATAAAAGAGTTGGTAGATATAACACTGAAAAAAATGGTAAGAATGAAAACCTATAAGCAGATATTGGGGAAAGCTAAAGACAAATAAATTATTTATTTCCCTTTATAATGAAAGTAACCTTTATGAGGACAGGAGATTTTGTTCTCTGCTCTATCCATTGCCTACAACAGTGCTTGGATGATAGTGGGTGCTCAATAAATATTTATGGAATGGCTGGGTGATTAAATGAATCACTACACAAAATATGAACTATATTATTTTAAAATATTTTACTCAATGTGGGGGTTGGGAGGGAGTGGTGCAGCAGATTCAGTTTGTGTAAAATTGGATGCCACTCTAGTCTGTCTGCATGACCTTAGCCCTCCAATCCATCTAAACATTCGTTATAACAAAATAACATAATAATTAAAATAGCTGTCCCTTATAAAGTACTTAACTATATGCCAAGGGCCTTCATAGAACTTTAATTATAGGAACTCATTTTACCCTCAAAACAACCCTATGCAGTAGAAATTACTATCTCTATTTTACAGATGAGAAAACAGAAATACTAATAGTTTTACCCAAAATCATGATAGAAAATGGGGTGCAGAGTTCTTCTTTCAATGAAACAAAAAGTACCACTTTATTATGGACATAGTGTTTCTTCCCTTTTCTTACTATGCCCCTATCCTGGATACCAGTGAAAAGTTGTTAACTCTAAAGCATTCTGGACCCAGCTCACTTCCATTACTCTGGAGATGAGGAAAGAAATAGATGATGGGGGCTGCCAAGTCTTAGATTCAGGTATCAGACTCCAGCATACCTTCTTCCTTCAGAAATACTCTCACTGGGGACGCCTGGATGGCTCAGTCAGTTAAGCATCTGACTCTTGGTTTCAGCTCAGATCATGATCTCATGGGTTTTGTGGGTTCAAGCTCCACATCTACCCTTGTGGTGCAGAGCCTTCTTGGGATTAGGAATTACTCTCACTAGCCACTGCTAGGGCTGAGGGTAGACTTCTTGAGAGACAGTATTTTCCCCAATTCCAAATTCACTCTTTTCTTGTTTAATTAAAAACAAATTTTTTTTAACATTTATTTATTTTTGAGAGACAGAACATGAACACAGGGGAGGGGCAGAAAGAGAGAAGGAGACACAGAATCTGAAGCAGACTCCAGGCTCTGAGCTGTCAGCACAGAGCCTGATGCGGGGGCTCGAACCCATGAACCATGAGATCATGACCTGAGCCAATGTCGGACACTTAACTGACTGAAACACCAAGACACCCCTTTAATTTTTTTTAATGTTTACTTATTTTTGAGAGAGAGAGAGGAGCGTGCGCGCATGAGCGGGGTAGGGGCAGAGAGAGAGGGAAACACAGGATTCAAAGCATGCTCCAGGCTCTGAGCTATCGCACAGAGCCCGACGCAGGGCTCAAACCCACAAACTGCGAGATCATGACCTCAGCAGAAGTTGGACACTTAATCTACTGAGCCACCCAGGCATCCCTCTTCTTTTTTTAAAGGACATGTTATGGAGTGAAATTTTTCCTTTTTTAATTTTTATTTATTTTTGAGAGAGAGAGAGACAAAGCATGAGCGGGGAAGGGGCAGAGAGAGAGGAAGATACAGAATCTGAAGTAGGCTCCAGGCTGAGCTGTAAGCACAGAGCCTGACATGGGGCTCAAACTCATGAACCATGAGATCATAACCTGAGCCAAAGTCGGACGCGTAACTGACTGAGCCACCCAGGTGCCCCTGGAGTGAATTTTTTTCTGGTAATTATTCAAACCTTTCTCTAAGTTAGACTCTCAGCAACCCTGAGTTATGCTCAGAAGTAAAAAAACAAGGACCCATCAAATCAAACCCAAACTGAATTAAGCAGTTAAAGCATTTATAATCTACATATATGGTCCCCTGCCCCTCCCGTGATTTAATCCCCCACAGTCCCTGTCATTAATGCTCCACTCCAGGCAGGTCTGTCTTCTTCCTGACTTACATCGCTCATGTTGTCAGACTTCAGTTTGGGCCATTCTTCTGCATTTCCACCCCAGACCTCTTCAGCTACCTAAAAGTCCTCTCAATCATCCTTAAAGGCCTCCCAGTAGTCTGCAAGCATCTTCTTATGATTCTAGTCCATCTTGAACTATTACTGCTCTGACTCCCAGTGCCTTGCTCCTTAAGTGAGTAACTTCACTTTTATCCTTTTTACATGATGAGCTCTCAAGTCAGAGATTCTTTGAGGAACAAATTCTATTACTAAAAATTAAGTTTGAAAATCTTTGCCCTATGGCACTGATTTTATCACAAATGTAGCACTATAGTATGTGTCCTCTTTTTGTTTTACTCCCCAGTTACAGTATAAATCCTTTAGAGACACGACCGTATTTTATATATTTAAGGTAACTCAGGTGTCTTAGTCTGCTTGGACTGCCATAACAAAATACCAGACTGGGTGACTTAGACAATAGGAATTTGTTTCTCAAAATCCTGAGACTGGGGAGTGCCTGGCTGGCTCAGTTGGTGGAATGTGTGACTCTTTATCTCAGGGTTGTAAGTTCGAGCCCCTGTTGGGTGTAGAGATTACTTAAAAATAAAGTCTGCCTGAGTGGCTCAGTCAGTTGAATGTCCAACTTCAGCTCAGGCCATGATCTCGTGATTTGTGAGTTCAAGCCCCGCACTGGACTCTGTGCTGATGGCTCAGAGCCTGGAGCCTGCTTCGGATCCTGTGTCTCCCTCTCTTTCTGCCCCTCACCCATTCACACTCTGCCTTTCTCTCAAAAATAATTTAAAAATATTAAAAATGAAATAAAATAAATAAAATCTTAAAAAGAATCCTGAGACTGGGAAGTCCAAGATCAAGGTGCCAGTCAATTTGCTTCCATAGTGAGGGTGCTCTTCCTTGCTTGCAGACAGCCACCACCTCAATGTGTCCTCACGTGGCAGAGAGAGGGAGCTCTGGTCTCTACTTACAGAGATGCTAATTATATCATGGGGGCTCCACCTTCAATACCTCATCTAAACCTAATTACCTCCCAAAGACACCTCCCAAATCATCACATTGGGGACATTAACATTGGATTTAGAGGCAAGAGGGACACAAACTTTCAACCTCTAATAACAGGTATTCTAAACAGACTTCCAGGAATAAAGTAAGTAGCCTTGGTAAATAAGTACCTTTTGATTTATGTAAGTAGTGCCCACAGAAATGTAAACTAATAGTTTTACTTGGCAAAGAGTTATTTTCCATGCGAAATTAAAAACTACTCTTTTTTTTTTTTAATTTTTTTTTCAACGTTTATTTATTTTGGGGACAGAGAGAGACAGAGCATGAACGGGGGAGGGGCAGAGAGAGAGGGAGACACAGAATCGGAAACAGGCTCCAGGCTCTGAGCCATCAGCCCAGAGCCTGACGCGGGGCTCGAACTCACGGACCGCGAGATCGTGACCTGGCTGAAGTCGGACGCTTAACCGACTGCGCCACCCAGGCGCCCCAAAAACTACTCTTATCATTTATCAAGAACTCATCTTCCTCTCTAGGATTATGACAACGATGGCAAGATATCTTTTGCAGACTTTGAAAAAGCAGTTAGAGAAGAGAGACTTTTGTTGGAGGTGTTTGGACCGTGTTTACCAGAAGCAAAGGTACAGTGCCAATAGCTCAAAGCGGTTAAGAGCAAAGTTTTTAAGGGATCAGACAGTAATACCTGCTGGACACTCACCTCTGTAGGGGCTTTAGCCCACAGCTGAAGTTTAGGCAACCATGACAATCTCAGCTCCCTCCTCACGTTTTGGGAATCAACAATAGTGAGGATTCTATTCAACAGACTTTTTGAGCTTGCAGCCTCTTTAGCTATACACAATTCCTGATTTCTTGTATGTTAATATTTTCCCAAAGAAAATTTGAGTCTATTGGCATGCTTAAGGGATAGAACATTGAACAGTGTACTCAGCAAGTACCCACCATAACTGCCAGGACAAAATTTGATCTCTTTCAACCCAAATGTTGCCAAACCATGAGAATAATTATTAAAAATCTTGAATACATTTAAAGTACTTTATAGTATTTATGCTTAGGAAGGTTTTTCATGTATGAATTTGACAAGTTTTCTGAGCCAGAAGAGCCAGCCTAATAATTTGACACATTAAAATTTCCTTTAATTCTTCCTTTGAAGAAGAAAGTAGAAACTTTTTAATTCTCTGCGGTGATCTAGATGGCGATTTTATGCACAAACTTGCATGTTAAGTTCTCCTGTGCTATCTTCTGCTCATTTCTCTAACTTGTCCCACTGTAGTTTATTCCTGGAAATAAATAGTAAAATGCAGTGTGTGAAAGGCACACTTCTCATTTTGAGACTGATGGAGGAAGCCACATAGAATGGACTGGATTGGAGCAACTACTTAGGTCAGATGGAACACCAACAGATCTCCAGTTGCTCCCAGAACTCAGTAGCCCAGTTACTGAGAACCTTGCTACTCACCAGCAGCAATGGTGTCACCTAAGAACCTGGGGAAAATGGGGAATCTCAGGCCCCAACCCAAACCAACTGACTCAATTGTTGTTGTTGTTGTTGTTTTTATGATGCTTGACACAGCAAAGGTTACTTCCACTCATCTTGATCAAATATTGTGCATGTTGGTGGGGATGGGAAGGCATGCTGGCTTCCACATGGTCACTGGAAAGATCCTGCAAAGTCCTGAGAAGATCAGGAATCCATTCAACAAAACTGAACCCACTGAGCAGCAACTCCTTTTAAGGCTGTCAGATAATTTTTTTTTCAGTTGTAGTAAAATACATCTAACACAAAATTTACCCATCTTAACCAATTGTAAACATACAGGTTCAGTGATGTTAAGTACATTCACAATGTTGTACAACCAATCTCCAGACTGCTTTCCATCTTGGAAAACTGTAAACCGTTCTGCATTCCCATCATCCACCAGCTTCTGGCCACCACTATCAGAATCTACATTTTAATACGACCCTGAGGTAGAAATTCATAGCACCTTAAAGTCAGAAGCATGTTGTAGATAGTAACTTGCTCTTTCCAATTCTATGCTTGGGTCTCTAACATGTCTTTTACCTGGGAGTTCAGCAGAAAAAAATAATTAATTACCTTACAAGGAAGTAAGGCCAAACCCCTTGCCTCCAGCTTCTTTTAATACCATCTACCATTTGGTGCCATCCCAGCAAGTTTGAATCAGGTCATAACTGATGATGAACCTTCTTAACCGGTATGTTCAAATTCAATCCATTAGGTAAGAGGCCTTTAGGTATATAGAGAAAAGAAAAACAGTTTGGTATGGGCCTTCTCAAGGTATTTTTAGCAGTTTAAAAAAAAAAAAAGGACACAGCTTGAACATACTTGTTCCAGTTTCCAATTTTGTAGTCTGATAGGACAAACAATGTAGGTATGCTAAATACTGGTTAGCAGTCTAGCATTGACAAATACAGATTTGTTTCTGCCATAGATAAGCAAATTCTTCTTAGAGACTAACTAAAGAATATAGGCTCCTAATTTCAGCTTTGTTCTAATAGTTTAACTTTTTTACTTTACAGAATTGTATTGATTTTGAAGCCCTGGCATTCAGACACATCCTGAATTCTAGTTTTTGAATGTGAAACACTTAATACTTGTATTAAAATCAGAAACAGATCCTGGTTGCCTGTCTTTATTTGCATTGTAAAATTTTTATCTTTTGTTCACTTAATTTACATATAACTATTGCAAAGTGAGAATAATAGAAAAACACTTTCTGTAATATTAAGTAATGATAAACTAATTTTATTTTTTAAGTTAGCCAACGACCTTGGCCCCTGTGGGAAATACTTTCACAACCCTCTTTTCTCCTGCTTCCTCAACCAGAGAAGTTGGAAACCTAAAACATTCACCATTCCAGACCTTCCCGGTTAGGAACAGCCATGTGCCCAGTTTTAGCCAATAAAATGTAACCAAAGTCACTGGATGGAGCTTCCGGAAAACTTTAATTTTTTTTTTTTTTTTTAAGGAACATATTTGGCTGACATGTATTCTGTGAATGATAAGCTAATTTTAAAAGATGAACCTTCATTAGATACAATAGCTTGAATGGTATCACAAAGAGGAGTGCACTAAAAAATACCAGCAGTAAAATCTCTTAAAGAATTAAAATGATAGGCTAAAAAATAAAAGATAAATAGTCCCTTAGAAAATATAATTTGCTGCTGGCAATCTATATTCTTCTTCTTTGTTTTAACGGACGACTTGTATGTACATCTTCCAGCTTGTCTTCTGGAGGTTTTGGCATAGATGAAATTACCTAGTTTAAAAAGAAGAGAACCATCAAAACTTAGTTTTTATAGTACAAGAATAAATAAATTATTAGGAGAGGTAGGAGATACATCTAGTAGTTCAATTCTTGCTGTCACATTTAAGGCAGTTAGCCCAATTTCAGGTTACAGCCTATGGTCTACGCACAAAGTTTTCTGTCCAAACACCGATGGGAGTAAAATTTCTAAAGCCATTGAACAAGAAAAAAAAAAACTTGAGGGGATAAGAGTAAACATATACTCTAACAATCCTTTATAGATGTGAAGTCACTTGCTATTTTATAGACACAGAGATCTCCATTCTGTGTAACCTGAAACACTGATAACATTTGATGTATTTACAGACATGGAGGCTTGGGGGGGGGGAGGGGGGAGTATGAAAAATTGGAGAAATAAGTAGAAAATGGTATAATCCTCAATTTCCTAGGGAAGTGAAACCAAACACATCATTGGAAAAAGAGTTGACAATGAGTTAAAGCAGAGTAAGACAGTCTTCACTTAACATGTAAAATTATTGGAAACTGTGTAAGTTGTATTCAGTATTTCTCCATTTTGTTGTTCTATTGTCTCCTTACTTAGGATTTGGACCTAACAACTTTTTTCTTGAAAATATACTCATTTCTGGCTGAGGGAGCTATGTACCTGCATCTATGCCTCAGTTCAACTGTATCTGAAGGAAGAAAAGGGCCAGCACAAACTCAAACATTTAAAAAGAGGCTTAAGCATGGAAATTGTGTTCACAGACTTTTAATATTATAACATAAGCCCTCATCCTTAATCAGATAGTAATTTTCAGGTAAAAACATATACATAAAATAAATGAAGCTACCTTAGATTCCCTTAATCACATTGTAAAATACATTTACAACTGCGTGAAAAGCCCTTTCTGAACCTCCAGAGTTAAAGTTTAAAAGAAGGTTGTTTTCCCTCAGTTTGATTTATAAAAGGTTTACCCCACAAAAAGCTATCTTTCAAAAGCTAACTCAAACGTTAGCTTTCTTTTATTTGTGCTTAGAAAATGGAAAATGATTATGTAAATATGTAAAAAAATTAGTACTTAATTAGGACAGTTGAGTTGTAATCTATTTAAGAAGTTTACATTTTGAAATGCAGACCTTAGGGCCTAGTCTTTAGAATCATCTCACCTCATTCTATGGCTATCTTTATCAAAGAAGCAAAAACCATTTTGATGTAATTTGTAAGAACACTGAACTTGAGAAAAAGTTTTCCTTCAACACAATAATTCTGTACTTTGACTCATAATAGAACCATTTGGGGAGCTTTATTTATTTATTTATTTTTTTATTTAAAAAAAATTTTTTTTTTCAATGTTTATTTATTTTTGGGACAGAGAGAGACAGAGCATGAACGGGGGAGGGGCAGAGAGAGAGGGAGACACAGAATCGGAAACAGGCTCCAGGCTCTGAGCCATCAGCCCAGAGCCTGACGCGGGGCTCGAACTCACGGACCGCGAGATCGTGACCTGGCTGAAGTCGGACGCTTAACCGACTGCGCTACCCAGGCGCCCCCATTTGGGGAGCTTTAAAAAGAGAGGGCCTGGGCTCCACTCCCACAGATTGATCTCACGGACTGAAACCACTGCTTTTATGTTTTATATCTAGAATGACGTAGAATATGTTCTGTTCATTTTTTTAATGTTTATTCTTGAGACAGAGAGAACAAGTGGGGGAGGAGCAGAGAGAAGGGGACAGAGGATCCAAAGGAGGCTCCTTGCTGACAGCAGAGAGCCTGATGCAGGGCTCAAACTCATGTACCAAGAGTTCATGACCTGAGCTGAAATCAAGAGTCAAATGCTCAATTGACTGAGCCACCCAGGCGCCTCTGTTCTGCTCACTGTTTAAAGCAAAGGCTAATGATATCAAAGCACATACTTTTCTGTTCATCAGATTCAGTTAATTCAACAGGAACTATAGAAAAACACATCAAAAAACTGAAAACAGGGCGCCTGGGTGGCGCAGTCGGTTAAGCGTCCAACTTCAGCCAGGTCACGATCTCGCGGTCCGTGAGTTCGAGCCCCGCGTCAGGCTCTGGGCTGATGGCTCAGAGCCTGGAGCCTGTTTCCGATTGTGTCTCCCTCTCTCTCTGCCCCTCCCCCATTCATGCTCTGTCTCTCTCTGTCCCAAAATAAATAAACGTTGAAAAAAAAAAATTTTTTTTTTTAAAAAATAAAAAAAAAACTGAAAACAAAAAAAATTAATGACAATACTTTAGTTGCCACAAATCTCCATTTAGTTGTTAGCCCTATAACCAAATGATCTCTCAAAACAGTTTTTTTAAAAATGATCTTACCTCTTTAAGTTTATTCCGAATTAAATTTGCTGTCGTGTTCAACGAGTCATCGTGCATATCTACTTTGGGTAAGTCTGGTAACAGAGGCCCAATCATAACCTCATCACTACTCGTGCTTGTTCCAAGAAAAGTTCCAATTTTACGATCATCTTCTCTTCTTCTTTTCCGCTCCTGCAGTTGTGTTGTCCTAGGCATAAATCTGTCAACTGCCTCTGAAGAAGTAATAGCCTTCTGTGCGCCAGGGCAGGCCGATGAATTTTTAAACGGTTTCACCCGTATTTTCTGCAAAGAGTCACTGTGCATACAATGCTCCAATGTTTCTTCATGGTTTCTACCATCCTGAGAGAAGTTTGATGCCCTGTCCATATGCTCCCCTGATGAACATGTACATTTCGAGGAAAAATAACATAAAGGCAATTCACAAGAATAAGGAAGACAAGGATCTGAGTTGCCAGTAGAAGTGTTCAATGTGGCTGCACATCCAGAGGTCTCTGAATGGAAGTCCTGTCTAAAATCTTGTGTGTTTTTAAGCTCCGTAACCAGTTTCTTCTTTGTCACGTAATGATCTTTATGTTACAATTTAAAAGATGAGAGAAGAGGAAAAAAATGGTTTGTTTACTGTTTTCATTATTCACAAATGTGTGATTTTAAAAACAAACACTACTTTAAAATGTTAACAAATGCTACCCTGAAAATTTTTTTTTCTTGAGCAGGTAATACATTCACGTGTTTAAAAAGTATAAAGGGTACATTAGTGTCACACTTCACACTGTCTTTACCCCCTATATGCCTGGTTTCCACCCTCCACCCATAAGTAATCCCATTCTTACTTTCTTATTTATCTGTCCAGTATGTCTTACTTTTCTTCCCCCTGCCTACTCCTCTTTTTTTCCCCATAATAGCCATTTCTCTGCACCTTTGTGTTTTCCACTTAATTGTAGATCTTAGAGATTTTTTTTCCTAGGTCATTACATAGAATGCTCCTTTTTTTACAGCTTTGGAGCATTCTACTACATGAATGTATCATGCTGCTTAGTTGGTGTTTGTTTGTTTTTAAAGGAGGCAACAGGCTGGACCCATATTTTGTAATTTTATTTGGCACACAAACATAAGTTCTCCTGGAGCTATTCACATATCCCACAGGTTAAAAGTTCATTGTCTACAAGCGATCAGGGACTCTCAACAGCTCTCTTGCCAAATTTTAAGGTAAGTTTTCCAAGAGTCTTCCTACCTTCTATCTCTCTTCACCTCTGCCACCTGCCCTTTCCCCAATCACTCATTATATTCAATAGGTGTCTGCACAATTACTTTGTCCTTCAACTAAAGGGTAGATATTTAGTAATGTGGATTTCCAGTACTATTCAGATTTCAGACCACACACATTATTTCAGTCCAATTCTTAGTACTCTGTTCCTACAGTCCATGTACCAAAGCCCATGGCTCCATTCCAGGCACCTAGAATTTGTGTCTAGGGAAACTCAGTTGGGCATATGGGGCACCTGGCCAGCTGCTGGTCAAAAGTGGAACTTTTCCACAATTAGCAGTTTTAGATTAGCAGTTGGTAACTGGTCTGCAAATCATAATTGTTTCTCATTGCCTTTAGGTCAAACCTTAATTCCGCAGCCTGTGACACAATGCCCTTCATGATTCAGTTCCTGTCCTCTAATCTTCCCTCTCACTGCAATCCCTGTGTTGCAGTTATCCTGTACTATTCATAGTTCCTTCAAACGCATACTGCTCATTTATTCCTCTGGACCTTTAAACTTTCTACCTGGCCGACCTTTCCATCTCTTCCTCTCGCCTCCTGACTAATGTCTACTCCTTCAAAACTCAGCCACCTCTCTCATCCTATAGGAAGGCTTCCACAAACCAACATCTCTCCCTTTCCAGCCCATATTCCATAAGAGTGCTGCAGAGTTCTTAAATATTGTGATCATTTATTTGCCTCTCTTCCCACCAGACTGGGAGCTCCATGATGATATACCTAGCAGAGTGCCTTACACATTGAAGGTGTTTAGTAACAGGCTTTCCATACCTTTATTTTTAGTAGTTCTTGCTATATAAGCCTTCCTCTCCTGTAATTTTTTTCTAGTTTCTTCAACTGTTTCAAATTCTGGAGCATAGCACACGTGAAGCAATCCACCAAAGAAACTCTGTTCATCCATTTTTCTCTTGGCTGTCCTAAACAGAAATACATGATAGCATGGTTTATTAATCTTGACTTACTTAGGATAATAGCTGAACTAGGATACAGTGCATTGATCTAAACAGTAAAGTTCAGCTTTTGTTATGTGTATATACTTCCTATGGGTTGGGAATTAAGATGTTCTCCTTATGGATGGTATTGATTCTACTGATGTAGGGAATACTCTTAGAACTCTCTATAGTGCTAACAGGTTTTGAGCTAAGTCATCCGCACATATCCAGACCCCCTTTAACCAACTTAGGATCCCCAGCAGTTAACCTGAGGTACACAATCTATGGTCATGAAATACAGATTTCTCTGTGTTAAATTAAATGGCCCTTAAGAGTTAGCTCATACCCAGTTTAGTCTTTTCACCACAGTTTTGTTCCTATGATGGGATTCATATATAAAAATTAATAATATTATAATTATAAAATCTTCAGTAATTGAGTAAATGCTGAATATGTAACTAATCAATGACAAAGTCAAAGAATGGTATTCAAAAAATATTTATTAAACATTTATGACTGGCCAGGCATTATACTACAATAAATATTTAAGTACTTCTGTGCCCAGGGATAATGATAAAAATACTGATATTTTTCATGCACCAGGCAGTGCCTGAAATGCTTCACCTGAATTAATACTTCATAAAAACCCTATGATGAAACTGAGGCCTAGGAAGATTTATAACTTAGCCATACTCACATTGGTTTGTAGAGCTACAATTCGAAGCAAGATATTGAACTTCACATAATGTACTATGTGCTATGGGAGGTGCAAAAGTTCTAGCAAATATGTTTCCCTGACCATGAAGAGCAGGCTAGGGGGAAGTGATTAGGGGAAGTGAGATTACATATAAGAGCAAACTGAGAATAATATACAACCACATAAAATCAATTGCTTTTGTGGCAGGCTGCAAGTGCTATTTGTAGTACAGAAAGAAAATATGAATGATGGGGCTCCTGGCTGGCTTAGCTGGGTAGAGCATGCAACATTTGATCTTGGGGTTGTAAGTTTGAGCCCCATGTTGGGTATAGAGATTACTTAAAATCTTTAAAAAATACAATAGAGAAACTATGAATGGCAACAGCCAAAGAAGGATGAGTCTTGGAGCAAATTAGTGACAAGAATGGGGTCAACATAAAACTAGGTAAGGCATTTCATACTTCAGCCTTATTGGAGAAGAATTTATGTTACAGAGAAGACTGAAAAAAATGGGGTCAATTCACATAGATGCATAACAATAAGAACTTCAATACCTAACATTTACTGCATTCTGAACAGGAGGCACTACACTTAGCCCTTTACATAGGTTATCTCATTATCCTCACACAACTTCAGTAAATAGGTCCTTTTACCATACAGATTTTACAGAATGGAAAAAAAACAGGCTTACTGAAGTTAAACAACTTGTCCAAAGTCATGATGTTAGTAAGCAGTGGAGCTCAAAAACTTAACTCCAAACCCATTTTTTAATCTACCACAATACACGACAGAAGATTCTTAAGCATGGGAATGACACAATGTGAATAGTGTTTTGATAAGGCTAACACTTAAGACTAGAGTAAGACCAGAGTAATACAGGGCAATATTAGGTTATTGGGTAATTCAGGTATAAATGAGGGAAAACCAGGGCCAAAATGATAGCAATGGGGATGGGGGAGACAAAACTTATGCTTAACTTGCAAATTACCTTGCACTTTGTAGATTCATAAATTTAATAAGATAAACTTCTGTAAAGTCTTCTGCTGGGTATTCATCTAGAGCATTATATTGTTCAATTGCACCATACAAAGCAAATCGCTCAACTAATTCCTTCATCGCTCCCACTGCAGGAACTCCTTGTATTAACAAGTACCGAGATTCCAAATTGATTGTATATACCTAAAAGAAATGCAAACACATAAAAATATACTTCTCCAAAAAGCCTAGGACAAAACTATTTTTAAAAACTGCTCTAGGGTTAATGAGTACACTTATCATGAAGAATACTGAGTAATATACAGAATTGCTGAATCACTATATTGCCCACCTGAAACTAACATAACACTGTATATTACTTACACTGATATTTAAAGTAAAAAAGCTTTAAAAAAAAAGCCTCTGAAAACAAGAAACATTCTGTTCAACCTGTCTGCAGAAAAAAAAAAAGTAAATTCACCCCACGAGAATCTAACTAAAGAATAAATTTTCTTCAATCGACATGTTTTCCAGAAGTTGGCTTGGGAGAAGTTACTACGAAGAGAGAACAAATATTCATTGAGTGCTTACCACGCACCACGCACTATTGTAAACACGAAAGATGCAATGACTAACACAAAGCACTGTGTTTGCGGGGCTGACGTTCTAGCAGTTGACCGAAGGGTTCTTGAGAATCTTTGGTAACTTGAGTACCAGAGATTCTCATACCCATCTCCAATGAGTGACGGATAGGATCGCAGCCTTTCAAACCTTTATTTACATATGCTGGGATGTGGGATCACAGCGAAAATAAAGCTCTCAAGGACAAAGGATGAAACCGAAATCACTTTACCTTGACAGCACGAGGCCGTCGCCCCTCCCGATACTTGGCCCGCGTGTCGCATACAGCCCTCTGGACATGGTGATCAAATACACCTCCAAGCTCCCCGCCACTAGCCGCCATCTTGATGGCTTGGCCCCTTGCAAAAACGACAACATCCGTCTCGTCGCACTCCCGTTCACCCAATAAGAGGGGGAGATAGGTCAAGGCGTGCCACGATTGGCTGGAGAATCGATAGCGTCGGGCATCGTTTCCTGTGAGTGTGACTTCGGTGAACGAGATGCCGCCCTCCAGCGGACCGGCGGAGAGGCCTCGGAGAGCTGGAGACGCTTGCATGCCCACTGGGTACGGGGGCGAGGCGAGAGGGGCGTGGCCTCAGGGGGCGGGGCCGATCGATCTTCTCCTGTTCTGACACACTCGGCAGGCCCAGTGGCCCGAGTCCGCTGGAGCGTACGTTCGGAGGAATTTGTGCTTGCCGGCCATGTGGGGTGGCGATCGCCTGGCGGGTGCGGAGGGTGGTGGGGTAGCGGTGACTGTGGTCTTCACCAACGTTCGAGACTGCTTCCTCCACTTGCCG